AATGTAAATAAGATGTAAAGAATGCTTAAAATGTAGAGTACTGTTCTGTTAAAAGAAAAGATTTATGTTTATGTATTTTAAGTTTGTTTTGGTGTATGGTGTATGGTGAAAAATAAAAAAAAATCCTGCAAAAAAAAAAAAAGAACCGAGTTGCCCAAATTGAGATGACCACTAGATAGCAGCCAAGAGCTAGAAAGGGGGTATCTCCATACATCTCTGCTGCCATCTGGTGGTTGCCCCCACTTTTGCAGCCCAGGTTGGATAATTCTTTTCTATGAAAAACTGCTCGAACAGCATTCTTCAAAATGAAAAAGATCTTCTGCAGTCATGACATAAGCCTAAGACTGACAATCAGGCTTGTCAGATGTTATATTTTTTCTATCCTGCTCTGTGGAGTAGAGAGTTGGTCTCTGACAGAAGGCCACCTGAAGAGACTAGAAACATTTGAAATGTGGATTTACAGGCGGTTGTTACATATAAGCTGGGTTGACAAGATCAGAAATGAGGGGGTGATAAGCCGTCTGGGAAAGCCAAGGGAAATCATCAAAACAATTAAAAAAACGAAAGTTAGAATATTTTGGACATGTGATGCGACACCCAGAAAAATACGGCATACTCCATTTAATCCTCCAGGGAAAGATTGAAGGCAAATGAGGTCTAGGCAGAAGAACATCATGGCTTCAAAATCCAAGGGACTGGTTTGGACAAAACTCAGCAGCACTTTTTCGTGCGGCTGCTGATAAAAACAGGATCGCCAACGTCCAATAACGGATATGGCACAAGAAGAAGAAGAACTGCTCCAACCATACTGAAGGTGTATTTCCAGACAGGAGGCCTGAACAGCTAAACCTGGCTTCCAAACGGTGTGCTGATTAAAAAAAAAAAAAAATCAAGAGAAAACGAGGACAGAGGATGCCTCCCCCAGATTCTCTGTTTAAAAATATTACTAAACTCTTTCACCACCAGATTTCTTCTCCTCTTTGAATTATCTGCAGCCAACACTTTTACCATGTCCTTGTGGGAATTCAGACAATCTCATGGAGAAAGGATGGAGAAGCAGGAAAAAAGAGAAAGAAAACATGCTCACTTTTCCTGTGTATTTTCTTCTACCGTGCTGTGTTCAAGCCACTTAAATAGAGACCATCAAAATATTTACCCAAAGAATATTTACAAGGGGACTGGGAATGACTTCTCGGTGCAAATACCCACCTGCAAGGTATTTTGAAGGACTTTCTCAGGAGAAGAAAGGCCTTCGGGCTAACAGTGCCTGTAGCTTCTTCTCCTCTTCCCTGATTCCAGCTAGTAACCTCTCCTCCCAACTGATGGAATTTGCATTTTTCACTGAAAAGAAATCCCTGCGTGTTCAGTGGAAGGACATGTATTTGACCCGTGGAAAAGAGGCTCCTCAATCCTGCTCAGAAGACACAAGAGTTTCCCACCACTGTCCCAATCCCATCCCTGCAGAATTTCCTTTTGGTGCCTGTAGTAGTGCACAGATGTGCCTTCTGATAAGAGACACCTCTCCCTCCCTCCCTCCCTCCCTCCCTCTCTCCCTCCATCCCTCCCTCTCCTGCTCTGGTATTCAGCACCAGGCGGCACACAAGGACCTGCAGCTTGAGAATCAATTAGAAGCATTAGAAGCATTACGGTGAATTGCACCATTTGGAGCAGTTCCCAAAATTAATCTAGGCTGCTGCTGCATGAAGTGGGCCCTGTCAAACGAATTAATTGTACCCTCCTTGGTAAGGGTGCTTGGGGCAGATGAGGTGGGGCAGGACCCACAAGTATGAACAAAAATGCTCACATAGAAGAGTGTATTTCTCCCCCCCACACACAATTCTCTTTTAAGCCAAAGCTACTTTGAATTTACTTGGATTTTTTTCTCTCTCTGACACGTATAAGAGATTTGGATTTTTTTTTTTTTTACAAAGCGAGGTGCTACCCTATACTCTCAATCCAGGGTCTCTTCCTAGTGAAAAAGAGTTTGGGGTTTTTTTGTGGAAGGGGCCTCTTAAGATTCTTTCCTTCGCTGCATTCTTCACCCCTCCATGAGGTGGCAAACATGGAATTGGCTTCCTTATGCTGTTGACACTGAGTAAACACTTTTGGCCTGCAAAAGCTCGGGTGGCCACTAGATGGCAGCAAAGAGAAATAGAGGGGGAAAATTCATTTTTGCTGCCCCCAGTGGACATCCCAAGTGCTACCCTGGGGCACGGCAGGCGCATGTGGGAAAACCCTCCTTCAACAGTAAGGAAGATGTGGCCTGGCCTGACTCATGAGCTGGGAACAGAATGAATTCTGCCAAGGCATGTGGGTGCTGTAATTGGGGTGACTCAGCCTTTATCAAGCAACTCAAAAAACAGAGCGGCCCCCGAATTCTCTAATTCCATCATATTGTAGGTTTTTCACATGTACAACCGTAGCAGCATCCCCAGAGTCACATGATTTACATTCAGATGCTTGGCAACTGACTCATATTTACGACGGTTGCAGTGTCCCAGGGTCACGTGATCCCCGTCTGACAAGCCAAGTCAAGGAGGAAGCCAGATTCACTTAACAACCATGTTACTAACTTAACAACTGCAGCAATTCACTTAACAACTGTAGCAGAAAAGTCATAAAATGGGGCAAAACTCACTTAACAAATTTCTCACTTAGCAACATACATTTTAGCAGTGCTTTTTTTCTATATATAAAAAAAAAAGGTGCTGGAACTCACACACGTCATACAACCCGCCATGCCTATCCTACAAGGTTCCATCCAAAAAAGATGCCGGAACTCCCTTCTGGGTGTTTTATGAGGAAAAAAAGCCCTGCGTTTTAGGCTCAGTTGTGCTCATAAGTTGTACTTGTACAACCTTGCAAGGCACCCTGGCTCTCTTCCTAATAACCAGCCAAAGGTCTAGAAAAGACTCTGGAAAGGGATGCAGAACTGGAAGGAAGAAAGATCGTGGAAGGAAAGCTGACAAAGCAGCGCCCAGCAGGATCCAGCTCCAGCCTGGGAAGACCAAATGCCACTGTCACTTCAGCCTTCGACTCCCGTGTCCTCCAGGATTGGGCAGACAATTTGGCTCCCGTAATTCCTCCCCTGAATACTAGGGAAAATCCTCATGAGCTATTCTTCATTCAATCCGTCGATCAGAATAGAGCTGGAAGGGACCTTGGAGGTCTTCTAATCCAACCCCCTGCTCAAGCAGGAGACCCTATACAGTTTGAGACAAGTGGCTGTCCAGTCTCTTCTTAAAAAACACCACTGATGGAGCACTTACAACTTCTGGAGGCAAGCTGTTTCATTGGTTAATCGTCTTCACTTCAGGAAGTTTCTCCTTAATCCCAGGTTGCTTCTTTCCTTGATTAATTTCCATCCATTGTTTCGTGTCTTCCCTTCTGGTACTTTGGAAAATAAGTTGACACCCCCCACCCATCTTTGTGGCAGTCCCTCAAATACTGGAATATTGCTATCATGTCCCACCTGGTCCTTCTTTTGTCTAGACTGACCAAACCCAAATCCTGCAGCCGTTCTTCATATTTTTAGTCTCCAGGCCTTTAATCATCTTAGTTGCTCCTCTCTGCACTTTTTCCAAAGTCTCAACAATCCTCAGTGGCTATTCTTGTCAAGTAACCCACAGAATTGTTGTAGACCCTCCCTTGTGGAGGTCAAATCGGCAGCCCCACACAGGAGCACTCTATTCCAATTGTGCATGCCCCTCACTTTAAGACGGGTGCAGTGGCAAAACACAGGAACCCTGGGATGCAGCAGCTGGAGCAAGCAGGCAAAACTGAGAGGCAGTGATGGCAATTCTGCTCCTTGCAAGCTCTGTGCATTTCCTGTGGAGTAGATTAGCACACCCATCAGCGGCTCCCAAGAAGAGATAATGACATACAATTTCACATCTGCTCATCTTGGCATAATGGCCATCTCAAAGAGTCAAGGAGGGAGAAGGGAGGAATCTATTTGAAATTAAGTGAGTTTCTCCTGCCCAGATTGCACCACAACCTGATTAGGAAGGCCAGAAAGCTCAACTCACATAACAGAATAACAGAATTGGATGGGACCTTGGGGGGGGGGTGTCTTCTAGTCCAATCCCCTGCTCAGCAAGAAACCCTAAACCATTTCAGACAAATGGTTGTCCAATTGCTTCTTCAAAACCTCCAGTGCTGGCACATTCACAACTTCTGGAGGCAAGTCGTTCCACTGATTCAGCAAGCTGTTCCACTGGTTAATTGTTCTGTTAGGAAATTTCTCCTTAGTTCCAGATTGCTTCTCTCCTTGATGAGTTTCCATCTGTTGCTTCTTGTCCTGCCTTCAGATGCTTTGGAGAATGAGTTGGCCCTCTCTTCTTTGTGGTAGCCCCTCAAATATTGGAACACGGCTGTCACGTCATCCTTAGTTCTTCTTTTCACTAGTCTAGACGTACCCAATTCCAGCAACTGTTCTTTATGTTTTAGCCTCCAGTCCCTTAATCATCTTTGTTGCTCTTCTCTGCACTCTTTCTAGAATCTCAACATCTTTTTTACATTGTGGCAACCAAAACTGGATGCAATATTCCAAGTGTGGCCTTACCCAGGCATTATAGAGTGGTACTAACACTTCACGTGATCTTGTTTCTATCCTTCTGTTGATGTAGCGTAGGATTGCATTGGCATTTTTGGCAGCTGCAGCACAAGGCTGGCTCCTATTTAAGGGATTGTCCACTAGGATGTGGATATATTTGAAGGCAAACCTTGGCATGAAGCCTGCAATCTATCCATAGTCAGCATTTGCAGTATGAAACAGGGGAGCTATGCTCAAGGAAAGAATGAAAAAAGATCCCCAAATACTCAGATCCCAAGGAATCCAGCCGGACTGGGTCTGTTTGATGGCCCTATCTTAAGTAACCTCTTCTCCCTAATTTTTAAATAGGCTCCTTTGGAAAGTGACAATTCCTACCTGGATAAGGAACAGGTTCCTAGAATTGCTGCTGTATTTTTAGGAACACAGGAAAACCCTTTAATCCAGGCACTGTTCCAAGCGATTTATTATATTTGTTATTTTTATGACCCTCTCTCTCCCTCTGCCCCACCCCGTTTTTAATCCTCTTTATTGTAAAAAGAAAGCACAATTCCAACCCGAGACGGGGCTGGCCACAGAAACCTTGTCTGGACCATCTGCTGGCACCCTAACAGCCTTGCATCTTCCTGACGGAAGCACTCAGGGCCGCCATTCCATTCAGCTCCCGCAGCCGGCTGGTGTGCCTGCAAAGACCAGAGAGAGACAGCAAAACCAGATATAAAAGATGCTGGCCAGACAGATCTGAAGGCAGCAGCTTCAAAAGAAAATTCTGTGTGGCGATCAACAAGATTTGTCGGCAAGCAGAAGAGGGCAATGACATTTCTTCACATTCTATCCCAGAAGGACAACATGGGACATATTTCAGTCTGAGGGGAGGACTTCATTGTCCCCAACAATTGGTGACTTTATGTTCTCAGAACCATTGTTCTGGAACCTGGCCTCATTTAGGCAGAACTTCACTTTTTCTCAGTATCCTTATGTAGCCTTTCTCTTTCCAAATATGTTAAAATACCTCGGTCCTTCTGCGTGTAAGGAAATCTACCCCAATTCAAATAGGGTGCGTTTAAATGCCAAAGGTGAGCACAAATACCTTGCTCAGGTATCCCCCGGCTTGGGGGACGGAAGGACCATCAGGCTGAGGTCCTTCCATTTAATGGGTGAAATTCTTCTAGGTTTGGCTGATTCCCTTGGTCCAAACAGGATGCACGCCTTCTTTACACTGACTGCAGATGGAAAACCCAACTGATTCTATCAGCAGGATTCTACCAACCCCGTTTGGATCACAGCCAAGCAATCTTCCAGCTCCGATCTTACATAACTTTACCCCAAAGCAAATTCTTGAGACCTCCTAGGATTGAGGGAAGCTGGCACCACAGCCTTGGCCACTCTCTCCAAGTCTGGTTTAGAGAGACCATCAAAGTGACGAGGAAGCCACCTAACAGGAGAACCTCTCCAGAGAATGAAGAACTTCTCACAAATGAAGAAGTGCACCCACCCCCAATACCACTATCCCAACTTCTGTCTCACACCACACACCGGGAGGAGTTCCAGAAGATACCAAAGAAATTTTTTGGGAAACTTCAAGATGGGGGGCAGGAGGAGGATTTGAGTCCATCCATAAAGGTTCTCAGAAACACAAAGGGAGGGGACAATTCCTGACCAGGCCACTCAGAAGAAGACTTGCCTGGCATCAGCTGCGCAGAGCTTCCCTAAGGCGATGGCTGCATTGTCTTGCACAGAAGCCTTTTGGGCTCTCCCTGTGGTGACTCTCAAGAGGATTCTGACCACATCCGTGTCCAGCAAATTGGTGGCTGTGCCAGGCACCTCCAGACATTTCTCCAGGCAGAAAGCAGCGTTGCCTGCCACCCCCTCGTTCGGCCAGGACAGAAGCTTCAGCAACAGGCTGCATTCTGGGGGAGAGACCAAACAAGGCCGAATTAGATCCTGGGAGGAGTGAAAGCTAAAATGGAAGGTTAATTCCCTCAGTGCCAAGGGGATTTGTGGAAAGGCAAGATGGAGGGAGGAATGGCTGAATTCTTGGGAGGGGGAGGCCATGCCAATTAAACTCTCCCTCTCGGAAAAGACCATCTTTGAACCAACCAACAAGGAGGTCAACAGCCTCCAGCAGCACCCAGAGGAAGGAGGTTGCAGGATGATTAGAGGGCCAGGAAGCCAACTGGCACCAGGACTAAAAAGAACAGAGCCACGGGAGCTTTCCAGAAAGAGCCCTCTTGTTTGTTTATTCGTGTCAGAAGCATCACAATTAAAATAAGGCATTCTCTACAACATAAAATTTAAAATATAAAACGCAAGATTAAAATACGTACAAGTGAAACAAATCTTGCCCAGAAACATTCATTGCATTCTGACAGGCTGCCGTGAGGTCGGCAAGTGTACAATAGGGACACAAAGGACAGGCATAAATGTATGTGTTGTTGTCTGCATGTCACCACAATCGCAAAGGGCAGAAGCCCCATTTGTTCAAGGTGTCTCTGGGTCTTCTTGTACCCGTGAGCCTTATTGCCAGGAGAAAGGAGGGTTTCTTCAAAAGGAGAAGCCAGCAAAATCCCAGGGCTTTCCCCTTTTTCCTCCCTCCATAATTTGAAGCTCCTGCTCACCCTCCAAAGGTGTCCCAACCCTCAGGAAGCACCTTTTTCTCAGGCAGCCACAGAATTTTGCAACCATTTTTATCGCAGAGGAAGCCTTGAAATAGTTTTCGGCTCTCGAGGAACAAACATATAAAAACGTAATGATACAATTCCAACCTATCCGTGTTTTACAACAGCAGGCAGGCTGATGGCTGAATTCCCAGGGCTGTGAGCACTAGAACTGCATGTTGTACACAGTTACAAAAAAAAATGTATGTTTTATTTTTGCAATCATGCCTTCTTGTGGAACCTCAGCTGAGAAAAACTGCTCTAGAGGAAGGTGATCCTTTTTGGCCAGCAGTTCTATTTCTCTAAGTGAGCTGGGACTGGGAGGATGCCTCAAAGGAATACAGGATGGCCTCTGATCTTTCAAGGGGGGGGGCAGGTTCTGCCCCACAAAGCTATTTTTTAAGAAAGGGAGGAACGTACTCCAGAGGCCACCCTATCACTTGGCTTCTCTGACATTTCTGGGGTGGTTGCTCAACTTTAGCAACTTTAAGAAAGGTGGACTTCAACTCCCAGAACTCCCCAGCCAACCATGCTGGCTGGGGAATTCTGGGAGTTGAAGTCTGTATCTCTGAAAGTTGCCCAGTTTGAACAACCCTGCCCTAGACTGAGTAGAAGGCAGCGGCACTTACTCTTATCCAGTTTCACAATCTGCGTCAGAGCCAGCCGACTATTCTTGGCACAAATGGCAAGGACCTTCATGGCATAACCGGTCGTGGTTTGTCCACCAGCCTAGATTGGAGACAGGAAAAGACACATAAACACACACACACACACACACACACACACACACACACACACATCAAAAGCAGAGACTTGTCTCCAGAAACCCTATATTGCAGAAACAAGAACTTCACGTTTTAGGTCTCCGGAGACTTTTAATGTTGCAAGTTCTAAGCATCTGTAGGGAGAAGGCGCTAGAACACTAGAGCTGGCCCATGAGAAAAATCAGCTTCATGAGCTGAGACCCACCCAGGGTCTGATGCTGTGCAGGTGTTTCTGTGTTCTGGAGGTGAAACAAGTTAATGCTAGGTAGGGATCAAGTCAGTGTTTTGCAAACTTGGCCGCTTGAAGATGTGTGGACTTCAACTCCCAGGGAATTCTGGGAATTGAAGTCCACACATCTTCAAGCAGCCAAGTTTGCAAAATACTGGATTAAGTGCTAAATGGGACAGTAGCTACCTGTACCTAGCAGCATTCCTAACACTGCGAAACCAGCCTGCATCATATTTCTCCTCTCCCCGAAGACCCCAAAAGCATCTATTCCACATTTGCTGTTCCTTTCCACCCCATTTTTTCTCTTCCAGCGCTCTACCTCGGGCAGTGTGTGAATGTGGAACCGGGATGTTCTTCTTACTGCTGCTCTGATGCGCCAGGAGCCCCTTTGCATCTACCGCCTGGGTATTAATTGTGACCGCCCATCGGTGTCTGATTTTTTGGTGAAACAGCTGAGGAAGGAAAACCTGTTCAGGAGCCAAGGGCGCATGAAAGATGCAGGGAGGGAACAGGCCACTCCGTTCTGCACCGTTGGCTTGCAGAGTTCATCACCGTGAGCTGATGGAGGGCTCAGGGGATGGCTGGGTCTCTGAAGAGAAGGTCATTTCTGCCCCAAGGCAGAGAGGGAAGTAGGGCTCACGACATTGGCAGAACATACCCCCTGGCATCTCCATCTAAAAGACCTTGGAAGCAGGAGGCGGTAAGAAAATGTTTGGGAAGCTGCTACTGATCTCAAGATACGTTAAGGGACACAGTCACGTTCTTCTGTTTTGACCCGGACAATGACAAAAACTGTAACAGCCACTGTGTAGGACAAACAAGTAGAAGACTGGTCAAGTGTATCTATGAACACCAAGTAGCAGTCAGAAGATTGCTCAATACATGGACAGACTAAGAAAGAGTTTCAACTGGAAAACTGTAATCATCCTAGACCAAGCCAAGTCCAAAAGCATTCTGGAGAATTTCTGGAAGTTGGGCACTCAGACAAAGCAGCCATCAACAGGCACATAGAGATAAACCACATCTACATACCATTCAAAAAGGACAATCTACAAGCCAAAAGAAGAAGAAATAAAAAGACCAAAACACCTCCTCACCAGCATTCAACACCAGGATGAGCAGAGGTTAACACCAAGATCAATACCAGAACAACAACCAAGCAGTAAACAACAGGCTAATCAAGGAACTACCACGAATATAAAAGAGAATATAATCCCACTCCCTTTTAGCATTGATGGTGTTCCCTAGTTGGGTCACGAAATGTCTGCAAGGAAATAACCCAGCTCAGAGAGCACCAGGGACCCCACAGTCCTCCTCCTCCTCTCTACAAACCCCACATCCTCCTAGCACTGATGATGTTCCCTTGTTGGGTCATGAAACATCTTCAACAAGACAACCAAGTTCAGAGAGCACCAAGGATCCCACAGTCATCCTCCTCCTCCTCCTCCTCCACTCTGCAAACCCCCTCCCTTCTAGCACTGATGATGTTACCTAGTTAGGTCACGAAATGTTTCAAGGAAACAACCCAACTCAGAGAGCACCAAGGACCCCATAGAAAGATTCAGCCAGAGGCTCCTATTGTTTGATTCGGCTGAATTTAGCTGAAAGGATGAACACTGCAGAGGATCAGAACAGCTAAAAACTGCAATGTGCAACTTGACTCCCTGTAGAACACCAGGGAAGATGGAAAACAAGCCAATTGGGCCTTCACACTCCATGCTTCTGGCATGGGAATAATGGAGTTGTCTGCTCGCGCACTGGGCAGAAGCATTTCAAGGCCACTGGGACGGAAAGTCCTGTCTAATGTAAGGACCCACCCCACTTTGCATCTTAAGAAGACAGAACTCTTGGAATAATTCTTCCAACAGGCATCCTTTATTAAGAGAAAATGGTTGCAGGTGTTCTAGACAGGACTTGGGGTCCAAGCTCTCCCATTCAAGGTTTTAAGGGGTTCCCCTATAGCCCCACCCAATCAACCCCCTCTTTCAATGATAGTCTCAGGCATTACACTTCCACCCCCTTTTCATTACTGCCCGGCTGGATGGAGACTTCAAAGAAACTACATGAAAGGAAACGGCCCCATTCTTATGGTTAGTTCTTTTGCAACACACACATTCAGTTCCTTAGAAGTCTACTGAAGGAAGTGAGGGCCATAAAGCCCCTTTGTTCTCCCCCTTCTCTCCCTCTTATGGCAGAATCCAGAGAAGGCAGAATTGGGGTTTTCTATATTTGATAACTAAAGATGAAATATAATTGGATTCTGACATCATAGCTCTGAAATAGGAAGACCACCGGAGATGGCAAATTACCTTCAGAAATCGGATCGCTTTCCTCACCACGTCTTGTCTCACAGCTTCTTCCAGAGCCACCAGACTTGTCGGCAGGACGTGACTCAAAAGCCCCACGGCTCTCTTAGAGAAAATAGAAAAGAGATGGAGGCTCACAGGGAAAGGGCTGGGTGGTTGTTTCTCCAAGCAAGTTATCAAGTTGCCTTATCTGCTTCCTGGGCTGGTCACGTCAAGGGCCCAGGAACCCGCCCAGCTGGTTGCCATCTTGCTTTTTCCAGGCTCAGAGAAGGAGCAGGGCGCAGCACCATGGGATCCTGACACCGATGCAAGTAATCACTGACTTACAACCGTTTATGCAGTAGCCATTTGAAATTACACTGGCTCTGAAACAAGAGACCTATGACTGATCCTCAGGCTTACGACCACAGCAGCATCCCGATGGTCATGTGATCGAAAACTGGGCGCTTGGCTAACTGGCATGTACTTACAATGGTTGCAGCATCCCTGGGTCACGTGACCGCCCTTTGGGACCTTCCCAGTCGGCTTCAGACAAAACAAAGTCAGTGGGGGAAATCAGTTTTGTTTCCTGGCTTCCGTGACTCACTCAACAACCGGGGTGAAAAAGGTTGCGAAATCTGGCACGACTCGCCGCCTGGCTAGCAACAGACGTTCTGGGACTGATTGTAGATTGAGGTGACTGGGGCAAGGTCAGGGGTGGGGAACCTTGGCTCTTGTACGACTCATGGACTTCAACTCCCAGAATTCCTGAGTCAGCCACGCTGAGGGGAAAGGGAGAGGTTTCTAAGATGAGCCATGCTGGCTCAGGAATTCTGGGAGTTGAAGTCCACGAGTCATAAAAGAGCCCAGGTTGCCTACCCCTGGGCAAGGTGTAAAGGGAATTAAAGGTGGCAATTCTGGAGGGGGTCTGAAAAAGACACGGGGAGGGGGCAACAGAGACAATAAGAGGAGGGGAATCAGTAGAAAGCTGATAAGAGAAGTACTTTCTGTTCGATTAATTCTGCCAGCTTCTACCTTACAGACGTCCAATAAAGGGAAACAAACAAACAAACAATAAATAAATAATAAACAAAACGGAGTGACATTTGTACTGGGAATGAAAGGTGAGGAGGGAAAGGCAAATCCCAGAATGATCTAGTCATCAATAAGCCCAAAGCTTGGGACTCTTCACCTTCAGCATAAGGTCTCCTGCTTGGGCGAGCGATGGGTGGGGTTGGACTGGAGGACCTCCAAGGTCCCTTCCAAGTCTTTTATTCTGTTTTGTTACTCTATTATTCTTTCCATGATTGTGTGTATCCAACCTGTCAAGCCCAAAGAAAGTCCGGAATGGTATAGGACAGTGATGGCGAACCTTTTAGAGATCGAGTGCCCAAACCACAACCCCAAACTCAGTTATTTATTGCAAAGTGCCAGGGCCGCTTCAGCATTGTGGTGCCCTCAGGGGGGCATGGGGTTGTGGCCCACTGGGTGGGCATGGCTCCAGTTGTCACAGCAGACTGGGTGGGTGTGGCTGGGAGGGGGCATGGCCACCTCGATGTTGCTCATGGAGGGGGCACCTGTAGGGTTGGGGGAGATCCAGGGGGTCTCTGGTGGGTGGGGCGGTGGGCAGGAGGCCCAGCATAGATGGGGGGAGGCATGCAATCCTAGCTGGGACTGGGGGGCCATGGTGCCGATGGAGATCCGGCTTTCCCTGCTCGGGGTGGCCTTTGGCTTGCTGGCTGTGGGCGTGCTCCACCTCTACTCGAGCTTGCTAGCTGGCCGCTTCGCCTCCTTTGTGCTGGGCAGCGGCGGCCTAATGGACCTGTGCAAGCTGCTGGCAGCAGCAGCATGCATGCCCATAGAGAGGGCTCTGAGTGCCGCCTCTGGCACGCGTGCCATAGGTTCGCCACCACTGGTATAGGACCTCCTGTCATGGGCGGCAGGGGAGGGGGGGTTGGACTAGAAGACCTCCAAGGTCCCTTCCAGCTCTCTTGTTTGATGTTCTGTGTTCTAACACTCACTGTGATGATCCTCCCGTCTGGACTGTTGAAGAGAGACATACACGTGTCACAGATTTCTTCTGCAAGTTCCTGAAACAACCATCGGGATTAGAATGCCAGTGTGCAAAGGGCAGAACTAGTCTGCTCCAGTTGTCACGGCAAACACAAAATCGGTGGTCTTCCTTGGACAGAAGAACAGACAGAAGCAGGAGGACCAAGCTGGGCTGAGACCTGCTCAAACCCAAAACTTGTGGGGTGGGGGGCAGAAGATTGACTCAACCCCCCGCTCTTTCACAGCCCACTTTATCCCACGGGGATGTGATGTGGATAAAGGGGCAATGTGTAATTCCCTGAACAACTCCTCCCCCCCGGGCCTGCCCAGGTCAAAGAGGACGTCTTTCCAGCTCAGAATTCCTCAAAGGAGCCCCCCCCCCCAAGGAATGAAGGGCATGGAAAGAGGAGGTAGATCAGATGAGAATCCCAGAGGTTCTGAGGCCATAAAGCGATGCAGATTTATAAATCACCTCGATGACTGAGTTGGGTTCCAGGGAGAGGTTCATCATTAGGCCTAGGACTGCATGCAAACATTCAGGATATCTGGCGACACTGTTTTCGATCCAGCATTGATTCTACAGAAGCAGAAAACACAACCTCGTCACAAGGTCAGCCAATCCCTTGGATGCTCCAAAATGGATGAATTCTTCTGCTGTACCACCCCTTAATCCCTTGGTAGCATCTCCTGATCAAAGACACCTCACTAGGAAGGTTGTCTCCCAGGGAACCCCAAGGTCATTATGGTAAAGAAGCAATAGATGCTGGCGTGTCCAGCGAGACTTGGATTGGGGTCTCTTTCTTGGTGTCAGGCCTGCCCCAGCCCGATCCCTTGACTCCATTTGGTTGAAGTGACAGGTTCCTTTACTAAAAGATGTTGGTTGCAGTAGAGTCAGGCTAGAACTAAATTTCCCGCGCTCAAAAGATACAGAAAGTTTCCCTGCGTCCCAGCCCTCCCACCCCACCTCCCGACCAGTCCATCTTCAGCCAATAAGAGTCCGCCTAGGAGAGGACCTAGGTGTTTTGAGAATGCTGGGATGTTTAGGGTAATTCACATTCTTCCCCTTGGGTGCTGGCACAAACCGGTTCCGAGCTCTCCTCCTCTTCGTCAAGCTGTCCTCCCCCCCTCCTGATTTCCCATCACGTACACATGAAGGTTGATTGCCCCACTGTTTCCCCCCCCCCGGTGTCTCCCCTCCTCCCTCCTAGCCTCTGATGGCAGGATGCCAGCAAGGCGCCAATCCGAAGATGGCAGACCTTAGTCAGAAATTCTAGAGACTGGCAGCCAGTTGATTGTTGAGGGATGGAGAACTTGTTGGCCAAAACACTCTGACTGAACTCAAGGCCACCTTAAGGGAACCCTTCAGTTCATAAGAGCAAAGCAAATCCAGAGCAGCCAGGATTGACGTGGTTAGAGAAGGGCCAGGTGGCAAAAAAAGAAGAGGTTATGACTCAGGGGGTTTGATTTGTCAGCTGAGCTTCCCACTTCCCACAGGCTAATGGAGCAGAAAGGAGACAGGCGGGCGTGGAAGGAGGAAGCAACCGAATGGACAATCAACCGGCCGCAGCAAATGGCGAGACGTACCACGAAGCTCAAGCAAGCTTGCCAGCATTCCTGATTTTCGGTCATCTGCATCCGGATGACCACATCTGAGCAGAGGTCTCCCATGAGGGCAATGCACTGGCTCAGGACCGTCTCCTTCAAAGGCTTGGAAGAGCTCTTGAGAGAAAAGAAGAACAGCTTCATTGGGGCACCCCAGCAAGAGACCCAGTCGAGTCTGAAACCACAGGCAGCTGCAATGTTCAAAAAATTCCATCTAATTGATCTGGTTTTCTAGAATGTTCAAAAAGGTTCACGTTTAGAGAACAGTCGGATTTCTGTCGGGTGGTGTTGAGATATCAACAGGAAAAACAAAACCAATAAAACAAAATGGAAAAAAAAATAGGGGAAGAGGAAGAATGATGAGAAAATCTTTCAGGAGCTCGAAGTAGACGTTGAAATGGATTCTGAGCTGCTTTTCGGGGAAAGAAACCCGAAGGCAGGTAAATCTTCTGTAAATAATCTGTAGCTGGGCACTCGGGGTCCTATTTGCAACCTCGACTCCTGCAGAAGGAGATCGGCTAAGACAGTGGTGGCAAACCTACGGCACACATGCCAGAGGTGGCACTCAGAGCCCTCTCTCTGGGCACGTGCGCTGTCACCCCATCCCCACCTCCCCCCCGCGGCCCCCTCATCACCAGTCCCCCCAGAGGAGAGTCACCCCCGAGGCTGGCCCACACGGAGCAGCACACCCAAGGACATGGCAGCTGGGCAGCAGGGACAAGACTCCGCCCTCGCACCCATCATGCACAGTGGATGCTGCAGGGCGCAGGCGGAAGACATGGCTGCCATGGCGCTGCTGGGCCGTCTGGGCGATCTGCAGTGGGTGGCGCTGTGGGCGGGCGGGCTGGGACGGGTGGGTGGAGCAGGGGAGGAGTTGGGATAAGATGGGGGTGGGGCAGTTTTTGGGCACTCAGTCTCTAAAAGCCCAGTGATGGGCTAAGACGATCCAAGTTCCAGACGATTCAAGATGGGGAAAGGGATGTCATCACTAACGCCCTTTCAAGTCATCACAGCAATTCTGGGCTTGGAGGGGGGGGGGCGGTTCAGGAAACACCTAAAGTTCCCGTTATCCTTTTTCATAAAACCTCCGTCTATTTTTAGTGCTGGGTCCTGCCAACCTGGTTCCTGATATCAAATATCAATGAGTCAACGCCGAGAAACAGAACTTGGGGGTACAAACATCAGGAAGAAAAAAGGTTTGCTTACCAGCAATTGAGTAAAGATTGGCAAGGCTTCTGTGGACAGTTTAATACGGCACTGGATTTTGAAGCTGTAAGCAAAGTAAGACGGAGAGTTAAGACTTTGAGTTCTGGTCTTCAAGAGACCGAGGTGGCCATCCAAGAGTTAAATCTTGCCCTGTAGACACCATTTACCATTTTATACCCAAATCAGAATTCTATTAAAGCTCAAACTTGGACACAGAGGAGCTGGAGAATGCCACTCACTTTTCTTCCAGGATTAAGTGGGTCAGCAAATTCATTGCGCTGGCAGCTCTGCTGTCAGCAACTTTAACTAAGGATATCAATGTCTGTAGCCACCTGGAAAAGAAAAGCCATGTTCTCTGGGGTCTACAGGAGATCTACAATTCCAATAAATTGGCCAGAGTAAAATTTAAGGATAGTTATCAGTTTGTACCCAGAAAACCTTGCACCAGGGAGTGAAAGCTATAGTGTTCCATGAATTATGCGGAATACAATTTGGATGGCTTGACTAGCCCTTAGTGAGTACTAACTCTGAGCAGAAATTGTAGAAAACAACTTTAGCATTTTTGGCCCCCCCAGGAGAAGAAGCAAAATAGCTCTGATGCCTTCTGAGTGATGCCAACTGGCCTTCAAGTTCACCACTGGGGGAATTGGAGAGGGGCGTGTTAAAGAGTAGAAATTCACTGGGTTCCACCGATAAATGGTATCAGCTGCAGGCTTTTCCACAGAACTGGGCAAAAGGAGACTGACTCATGGAAATACTTGCTGGCAGCATTAGAAACAACCCCTGTAGTTTGTTTTTTTTTAAAAAAAGACCTTGATGATATAATCATTGCATAACGTTCCTCTTCATCAGAAAATGTACGGTATGTTCAAAAGTTTTTCAAAGGGCAGTATTTCTGGGCTCCTCAGAATTATCCTAATTTCCCATGATGTGGATAGATTCTTGCTAACCCAGAAGGATATTTAAAAAAATGACAGAAGCTCTAAATCGGGACTGTCCAACCTTGACAACTTTAAGTCTTGTAGATTTCAACTCCCAGAATTCCCCAACCACCCAGGCTTAGACCTTTCAATCAAGGTCTTCTGAGTCTCTGTCAGCTCCACTACGGAAGAGACGTCCAACCTTAGCAAATTTAAGACCGGTGGACTTCAACTCCCAGAATGCCCCAGCCAGGTGTATGGTATATCCCAGCTTTCCATTTAGAGCAGGGGTGTCCAACATTGCCAACATTAAGACCTGCTGGGGCTCTGCTCATTATGCCAGCCAGCCAGCAAGAGCCTCAGTAACTTTCTGAGGTGGTCAGGAGCTTCTCTCTGCTTCAGCACGAAGACCCAGTTGGGTTGCAGAGGAGTGGGGGAGGGGCAGCCATATCATCACTCTGTGCAGTTTACTTGGTGGTGTTCAGATGTCTGACCAGGAGGATCCTCCCGTGCTCAGTCTCCGCGAAGAGAGACAGCAGAGCCATGCACTGTTCCTGGACTTCAGGCGCCTCCGAGCACAGCAAGCCGGGAAGCTGCGCATTCACATCGGGATGAGTTAGAAGCAGCCGCTGGTTCTCCTCTGGGGTGAGAAGGAAGCAAAGCCAGAAGAAAGTTTCAGCCAGAGGGCTGCACCAAACGCTCTACAAGTCCTTCTCCTAGTCCCCTCTGCCTTCCCCAAAATGTGCGACCGCCGGAGCGTCCTTTTGTGCCCCAGTGAAGAGATCCGTCTATCTCCAGGAGCGATGGAAAAAAAGGAGCATTCTGTCTGCAGAATCTAAACATCTGACTTGCTCACCCCTCTGAAGGGCAAATTATGTCTCACACAGAGGTGGGAAAAGCAATCCATGTCTCACTTAGTGATCTGGATCGAGGCAAATTTGGACATCAGCATGCCCAAGAAACTAAGCTAGTCTCCTTTATCCAACCCACTTCCTTTCCCCAGATTGCTGGTTCCTTCAGAGGGCCCAAGGAGACCCTTCCCCCAGACAGGCTTGACACTCAACAGAAGCCACAATGGCTCCCCCACATAGCTACACTCTTTACAGGCATAAAGACCCTGGATCTTGGTAAGGCAAATAAAATTCTTGTGAAGGAAGAGGGATCTTGCCTGAGGAATGCTGGCATTATTCAATGAAAAGGCTGACTGAGAAGAACCCAAGGTCAGAGAGACAGCCAGACACAAGAGCCAAGTTGTGAAGCCTCTAGGACAGTGGTTCTCAACCTGGGGGTCGGGACCCCATTTGGGGTCGAATGACCATTTCACGGGGGTCGCCAAACAACGCTGTCCGCCATTTCCCCCCCTTTTCCCTAGCTGTCCTACTCCCTCTTATTGGTGGCCACACCCACTTGGGGGTCACCACAACATGGGGAACTGTATTATGGGGTCACGGCATTAGAAAGGTTGAGAACCACTTCTCTAGGAGAAACCGAAGTATCTGGGAAAATGATTTGCCACCCACACAGGAAGGTGGTGTGGAGCAATCCACAGGTTTGTGCTAATGCTGCCCTTGCAGCGGAGACCTTTGACCTGTAACTCTTTGGTGCTTGCCAAGGTCTCAGCAGGATTTGTGCCTGAAAGAGCAGAGCTGCCCTCCCCGGAAGGATGGATGGAGTCAAAATCAGCATCCCAGGAGGAAGGACTGGCACAGATTACCGTTCCCTTTGCAGACGGCTTGCCAGAGGAGAAGCAGGGAGCGAACCAGCTCCAGTTCGGCAGGCGAGCTGATCTTGGCGCCGAGGACCCTGGAGAAGAAAGGGGCTGATTAAATGAAGGGCCAACTCCTTGCTGCAGAATTGCTTGTCTTCCCAGGATAACAAAACACAAGCTCTGGATTTGGCCTCTGATCTGGATGCTTTGAAAGAGCCTCTCAGCCTTGCAAGAGACCAAGCCGGGCGTTGGGCAGAGACAAATAAAAAGCTGCCACGCCTGGCCGTGAGTTCCCCCTTCATGGCAAAACCTTCCCTTCCAAGGAAGCCTTAAGACTGAAATAATGCAATAAATGAATAATGATGCCAAATTATACCCTTACTGACAAACTGAGCATCTGTCAGCAGAGGTGGGAAAGAAAGATTTCTCTTGCCAGTTTCAAATAAATAACATTCCCCTCCTTGGTAAGGAAAAACACGTGGGAAATAGGGGAAGAGATTTTTCTTCTGGAGGGAGGCTTGGAGTAGGAAAAGATCTCTCCAGCGTAACGGTTCTCCCCCCAAAAGAGTTGAAAGAGTTATGTGGGCTGCCTCTCAGAGAAAGAAAACACACAGGATCATTCCTCAGCTTGGCCTTAATAAGAATAGAATAGAATAGAATAGAATAGAATAGAATAGAATAGAATAGAATAGAATAGAATAGAATAGAATAGAATAGAACTGGAAGGGACCTTGCAGGTCTTCTAGTCTGACCCCTTGCTCAGGCAGGAAACCCTATACCATTTCAGACAAATGGCTGTCCAGTCTCTTCTTTAAAAACCTCCAGTGTTGGAGCATCCACAACTTCTGCAGGCAAGCTGTTCCACTGATTAACTGTTCTAACTATCAGGAAATTCCTCCTTGGTTCTAGGTTGCTTCTCTCTTTGATTAGCTTCCATCCATTGCTTCTCGTCCTGCCCTCTGGTGCTTTGGAAAATAAGTTGACCCCCTCCTCTTCTTTGTGGCAGCCCCTGATATATTGGAAGACAGCTATTGTGCCACCCCTCATCCTTCTCTTCATTAAACTAGACATACCCAATTCAAGCCACCGTTCTTTTTATGTTTCAGCCTCCAGCTCCCTAATCATCTTTGTTGCTCTTCTCTACACACTTTCTAGAGTCTCAACATCTTTTTTATGATGGACTAAGAGGGCACTTTTCAAACCTCTGAACTGATCGCCACAAACAATCTGATGTTTGTGATGTCCACACTGCTTTCCTTGCTGGTCTGGCCAGCTCCGTATAACTATGCTGCTGTGCCCGAGGCTGGTCAGCCCTGCTGCAGGCCACAGAACCCATTCTGTTTTCTGCCCATCATCTTGGGGCTGCTGTGCCACGAGACCCCTTCTCCCATCTTCTCCGGATGAGAACACCTACTGTTCTATGACCTTGTTGTCGGAGATGACGCTGAACCCGCCGTTCATCCTAAATAAAGTTTGCTCGGTGCCTGCAAGCAATTCAGACAAGGGAGAAGACATTCAGATGTAAGCAATATCTCGCTAGCAGCTAAAACCCAGGATTAAGAGCTGAGGGTGCAGCATTTCCTGGTGTCTGGGTTAAGATTCTTTGTGGAACACTGGGAAATTGGAAGTTCAGTCTGGGGCTGCTCCTTCTACGGGACACTCACAGGCTTGAACTAGGTCCGCCAGAAGCCGAATGCCACCTGCGTAATAAAGAAGGTCCTGATCCGGCTTGCTGAGTTTCTGAAGCATCTCATTCACGGTGACCGCGGTGAGTTTCCCGGACTTGAAATCTTCTGCTGCTCTCTCCTCCTCACAGAGTCTTTTTTCCTCCAAGTCTATTTTGTGTATGCAGTCTGAGGGTGGGAAAGGGCAGAATTGACAGGTGGGAAGAGGAGAAAACGGGATGAAATGAACCGAGGTGAATGATGTGATCCTGGCTTGGGGCAACCCAGGGGACAATTGCCGATCCTGTCCTTCAGGGCCTGTGTTTGGTCTTTTGGTGCTTAGTGGGACGGGGGCAGCAGGGTGACGCGGGAAGACCGGGGCGCCTTACCTTTGCACAGCTTCTCCTTCTGGGGGTCAATTTCTAAAATCTTCAGGTAGCACTCTCTGGCCTGGAAGCAGAAGGAAAAAACATCAGAAACACCAGAAAGAGAGGGAGAGAGGAGCAACCAAGAAAAAGCCTCGGCCTCATGGCTAGCACAAAACACCAAGGCATCTCCCCTCTTGCTGAAATCTCGGCCTCACAATTTACTTCCCAGGACAATCCTGCAAACGCAGGCGCTTCTGAGCGCCCCCAGCCAGCTGAGACTCAGCCATGCTCTCTCTGGTTTTTCTCCCCCAAAGACTGGAGTCCCCGGAAGTTTAAAATTAAAGTGTTTGTTAACAGCAGGGGTCTTCAAACTTGGCCCTTTTATGACTTGTGGACTTCAGCTCCCAGAATTCCTCAGCCAGCTTTGCCAGCTTCTAGGAGTTGAAGTCCACAAGTCATAAAAAGGCCAAGTTTGAAGACCCCTGGCTAACAGTTTAGTCAACAGGCTACGGGCAAAGGCATCTGACCTGCCAATTCTGAGCATGGCTTCTTGAGGACTATCTCCCCGGGGCCCCTTTTTAATCTTCTCGTTTTCCTTCCTCAACAACAATGCAGACCCACCAGCATCTGAACAAGTTAATACAACTCACATTCAGACAGTAGAGGCAGTCCCTAACTTACAACCATTTGTTTAGCAAGTGTTCAAAGTTACAATGGCACTGAAAAAAAGTTACTTGTAACTGGTCCTCAGGCTTATGACCCTCGCAGTATCCCGATGGTCAGGTGACCGAGATTCAGAGGTCTGCCCCGGGGGGGGCGGGGGGTCACATGGTTGCACCTGCAACCTTCCCAGCCAGCAAAGTCTGGCAAGCAAAGTCAAAGGAGGGGAAGCCAGATTCGCTTAATGACCACATGATTCGCGTAACGACTGAGCAAAAAAAACAAACAAAAAAACCCACAATGTGGCAGGACTCACTTAAGAAGCGCCTTGCTTAGCCAGGGAGATACTGGCCCCATTTGGGGAGATAAATCGGGGACTACCTGTAATAACTCGGCGCAACGCAGACCCCGAGCCCGATGAGGTCTCACCTGCTGGAACTGCTTCTTGGCTTGGTGGGCCTTTCCCATATGGAAGAGAGCCTTGGTGCATTTTTCATCACACTACGGGAAAGAGAATCGTTTAGTAAAATTCACAGATCGCCATGTCCCCAATTAAGGGCTGCGAAAATGGCACCAGGGGGGGTTTGGCTGGTGGGTATGGGTGTTAAAAATATCAAGATGGGGGGGGGGAGGCTACAGTTGTGTGGCTGAAGCTGGGCACTCTGTGTGTGTGTGTGTGTGTGTGTGTGTGTGTGTGTGTGTGTGTGAAAAGGGGGTCATTCAACGGGAGCAGCTTGTCACTGGAAACTGAAGGTGTTTCAGCCCTTTTAGAAAATTACTACTTACTTTTTATTGTCTAGCAGAGGACCGTACGGGCCAAAGCCACCTGCCTATTGCCGTTTTGACTGGATGCCACCTTGCCACTCAGAGCCCAGATCCCTCCCTGGGCCTGTTCTGTCCCTCTCACGGAGGGCAGGGACGGAAGGAGGGAACGAGTCTTACCCTCAATGCCCAGCTGCAGTCGCTAATGGCTTTCTCGTACTTCCGCAACTTGATGTAGGCCTAATGCAAAAATAAGCCCGGAGAAGCACGTTGTTGACTTGGTGCTGTTCCTTCAAAATGCCAGCCGTCCCACCTGGGCTTTCCTGCCAGAAGAGCTGAGCCGTTCACCAGCCAGACCGCTGATGTCAGAAAACCTGGGCAGGCTGGTTTCAGTTAGTAGCCACGGGTTGTATTGCTGGCTCAGATTGTTGAATTTCCTACAATATTCTCAGAAAAACGTATTTAGGAGGAAATAAGATGGAAGGTTGTGGCTAGACTACTGCAAGTCCAGGTCTCCAGGGAAACTCATCCTGCTTCTCTGAGCTTCTGTAGAGGAGGCCAAGCAATGGAATTAGCCTTTTTTTTTTTTCTTCACAGGGTGGGGGGCAATCTGGACCCACGGTTTCCTATAGATTCACTTTTCTGAGCTCCAAATTTGTGGGATTTGGTTCTGTAAAGGGGAAACCTCTTGAGTCAGGCAGAATTTTGAGGCTGAGAGAATTTTGAGGGAAAGAACACACAACCAGGGTAGCCCACTTTTCTGTAATTCTTCAGCTAAAGAATTATCTCTGCCTAAAGAATCACTCCAAAGAAGGCTTGCAAGTAAAAGAGAGCTGAGAGAGATCAAAGGATGGATCCTGACGGACACTTTTCAGGAAAGGAAGCTTCCAAGCATCTCATGCAGAGCTTCAGAGGGGCGAGAAAAAAGCAGGAACGGGAAGAGATAAGGAGAGGCGCCTCTGCCTATGGATGTTGAAGTATTTTCCCTGTGATGTAGGAGTCACCTTCATGTAGAGTTGGGGAACAGCCTGCAATGCCTTCTCTATCCCTGAGAGAAAGGAAGATCCGAGAACCCTGTCATCGGGACGGACTGATAGAGTTGTCTTTCCCTAGACAGGAATGTCTAATTGATGTCTTTTGCTACTTGGAGAAAGGGATCAGCAGTCCCGAGCTGGCCTTTGTGTGACTCTGCAGAACAGCAGCCACATCCCAAGGGCAGGACCCCCAGCAGGAGCTGGCAACTGGGGTGCCAAGGTCCTGGAGGAAGGGGCCGCTGGCACACTGACCTGCGCCCGGTTGGTATACAAGGCTGGCATGTCCTTTTGCTTCTTCAGGCCTTCTGTGTAGTTTTGCACAGCTGAAGCGTAGTCCCCTTTGCTGAAAGCGTCGTTCCCTTGGTCTTTCAGGGCTGTGGGAAAGAGGAATAACTGAAGGCGCTTTTTTTTTTTAAAAAAAAAAAGTCAAGTTGTTACAGGAGGTGTGGAGAAAGGCCTCCAAAAAGGGAGGGAAGGTCTGCTCCTGACGCAGTGGCAGTGATCAGAGAAAGGAGACTGGAGAAAGCAGTTTGTGAAACCCTCACCCCACTTAACCCACAGGAAGATTAAAGGGGGGGGGCTGGAAGCTCATTCAGCCTTGCTCGGTTCTGTTCCCGTGTCTGTTCTAATAAAAGTAGCTTTGGGTCTGTGGGGGCCCCGTTCCTTAGCCTGCCCTGCCCAATGGGGCTGTGGCCATTACGCTCGGCTGGAAAGTGGGAGGAGAGCATGAAGGCTCTCGTGGCAGCACGGGGCAACTTGCCACGGCCAGCTCACCATGGGACAACTCGCTGTGGGACAACTCAATAATTCAATTTAATTATTTAAAATGATTAAAACGCTATTTTAAGTTTTGCCATTCTCCTTTCATTTTGTCCCTCCTTTGGCATCCTTTCTTTAACGATTCTATTCCACTATTTTTTCGATATTAGCACAATTTTTGTCCGGCGGCGAGTTAGCCATAGCGAGTTGTCGTTAGACCCTCTCGCGATCCAAGAACCGTCAAATTTCCGCTGGTGTTGTTGAACTGTAAGCCTCTCCCTGCTGTCTGCTGAGCTGCAATGATGCCTTGAGATCAATCAAGCAACTCTTGACAGTCCACAAAACTGCGGGAGGCTTGAATTGCCCCGCAAAACCTTTGCCAGGGGCCGAGATCCTCGGGGGGGGGGGGGGGCAAGTTCCAGGACTTCCTTTCTAGCCAACAGCTCCCTCTGCTTCTGCTGAAGTCCAACGCAACCCAACCCTCACCGTTTGCCAAGGCTTCATTTTCTTTCCTCCTCCTGGCTCGCTCCTGGGCATCCTTCTCTAAAGCCGCCAGGAAGCTCTCTAAAAGTCAGCAAAGCAAAGACAGAGGTTCAGTCCAAAGGCTATTTGAAAAGGGGAAAAGAGCAAAGTCATTTCAGAGATAGGAAGTGGAAATCTACAAAGGCCGATTCATTAAAGTGGCAGCCAACTAGAACGGGGGTCTGAAGCTTCCATTTACAGAGAGCCAGACTGCAGAGACAGGGTAGTCCCTGCTTTGAAGAAAGAAAAAAAAGCAACATTTCTAAGAGAGAGAGGAGCTCTCTAATTTCTGGCTAATGGAGTGATTAATATATCCTGAATTGCACCTTCCAGCCAATGAAGGATAATTCATGTATTTAGTAAATAACTGGATCCAGTTCTGATTTTACAACTGATTGGTCTTACCTGGATTCATTGTCTCCTCTTGACTTGGCAACCCCTAGAAGAGTGGAAGGACAGCCGAAAGTCAGCTGGAGGCTATGGGAAGGAAGGAAGGAAGGAAGGAAGGAAGGAAGGAAGGAAGAAAGAATGGAAATGGGGAAAATATCTTGTGGAGGAAGGCAGAGACAGATCAGTTTTGCATTGCTGACAAGAAACCCAGTTTGATGATATTACCAGGGGTCCTATTATATAAGTCTTTACTTCGTTACAGGAGCAGTTTGCTTAGGCTGGTCAACTAAGTAGGGTCAGGCTTAATTATTCCACTAATTATGCCTATTAATTATCTTTATGGGAGACCACCCAAGAATGCCCGCAGGTCCGCTGGAGGAGACCTGGGCGAGCCCCCCTGGGCCCAGAACAACCACAGAGACGTCTCCACGAAGTCACCCCAAGTCGGACTGAGCTTGAAGGAGACGTTGCCTTTGCTGCATGAGAGAAACATAAGTGAGAAAAATGAATCAGACTCATTTTTCAGAGCCACTTAAACGCGACTTGCACAATAACATACACCTCAAAAAGTGCTTCCAAAGCTGTCAAAGTTAATTTCAGTCAATAACCTTAAAAATCCACCCGGTGGAATGAAAACAAACAAAAGGCCCAGAACATTCTGGGTGCAAGATAGAAAAAACAATTTGGACCAGGATTTTGCAGGCATTTCAATTGGGCAAATGGCAGCTGCAGGCAGATGATTTAAGTGGCTTTAATAGCTCACCGCCGTTCTTTGTAGCAGAACCTTTCAAAAAAAAAAAAAAATCTCTTTGTGGGGCCAAAAATGGTAGAGGGTCAATTCTGAACAGGTCCCTATGCTAGAATAAGTACAACAAGTTGCATAAATGGAACTAGACTAGAGTTACCTTCTGATTAATTCATTTAAAGAACTGAATATTTTGCCTTTTGTCTTTTCCAGGATTATATACCCTATTAGCATTATAACCTAACTGGGGGTAGTCGAATAACAAAGTGAGGATAAAAATCTTCTAAAATAACTACAATTAAATTAAACGTGTCTGGATGAATCAGACTAGGAGATTTATAAGATACAACCCAGCCAGACAATCGAGCCGCTTTGAGGGGTCAGGGTTGGGTCTGCATCCATCCCAGAATTTTTCAGAGGTAAGGGATTCCATGAAAGGTTAGAAGCGAGTCCCAGCCGTGATTCTTCTGACACTCCAAAGTGGATGGAAAAAAGATTTCCATTGAATCCAACAGAAAGCTATTTTTCAAATCCAGCTTTGGGGTTCGGGGGATATATATTTATTTAAGCTAGGATTTTTTCTCAGGTTGTCCTCAGTTTACGACCACAACTGAGCCCAAAATGTCTCTTGTTAAGTGAGACATTTGTTAAGTGAGTTTTGCCCCATTTTACAACCTTTCTTGCCACAATGATTAAGTGAATCCCTGCAGTTGTGATGTTAGTAATCTGGTTGTTAAGTGAATCTGGCTTCCCCATTGACTTTGCTGGTCAGGTCGCAAAAGGGGATCACCTTACCCCGGGATGCTGCAACCGTCATAAGTATGAGCCAGTTGCCAAGCATCTGAATTTGGATCTTGTGACCATGGGGGGTGCCACAACGGTCGTAAGTGTGAAAAATGGTCATAGGTCACTTTTTTCAGTACTGTTTTAACTTTGAACGGTCATTAAATGAACTGCTGTATGTCGAAGACTAGATGTAGGTATCCCTTCAACAGCAAGCTTACTAACAGAGGCTTCTGAACCCCAAGCGGTGTGTTTGTGTAATCATCTTAGCAGCCAAAGGGAGAGTCGCTCTTTCCCTTAAGCTGCTAAAATGGATAAGAAGCCCCGATTACTTGTTGAAAACGGATTTGTTCAGTCTCATTCATTGGAACCAGGACGCCTGATTTGTTCTCGAAGGACCCAAGGTTACCGGTGAAGGCTGCATGTTGATGACCGTCCTGTCCACTTTGGGCTTCGGCTTCTTTCCCTCCTCGCCTGAAATGGACCCGAGTCTCTTCTCCGTATCTGCAATGGCTTTTTCCTGGATGGCCGGATCGCTGGACTTCAGGCCTTCAATCAAGGCCGCTGGAAAGGAATGTTTTTAAAGACAAATAGGTCATTGGGAAACAGGAAAAGTAATGTAGGACCAATCAGGAGTTTTAAGGCTTGGGAACATTTTCCAGAGGGGAGAGGAGGTCAAAAAAGTCAAGATGGCAGCTGCAATGGATGCCCAGCTCTCCTGATCCCTGTTGATTCAATGCTGGGGGGGCACCTTGGCTCCAAAGACCCCCGGCAGTTTCAACGGACCCTCAGCCGAGGTCACCACCATGCAGCGGGGGGGGGGGGGGGAGGAAGGGAAAACGGACCACTGGGTGATCTCCCTGAAGGAGGAAAAAAAAAGAGAGAGAGAATTCTTTTCCTGAAACCGAAGGGGAGATCTGAAGGTCCCGAGCGGTCAAAAGGGAGCCGGGGTGGGCAGCAATCCAAGCGGGGACCCTCAATCCCTCTTATCCCGGCACCCATCAATGAGGGGCTTCTCCTCTATCCTTGCACAGAAGGACCCCGGCAGACCCCCACCCATTCACCTGCCAGCCTGCTGCAAGGCCTCCAAGGCCGGACTGGGCAGGGAAGGGGCTGCCTTTTGGGGGAGTACCCTGCCCTTAGCCAGATGGGAGACCCCCGGCTGGGGGGGGGAGGCTGGAGAAATGCCACAAACCAGGAAAACCAGGCAGATTTGGGGAGGGGGTCTCGGCCCCCCTCAAGTAGAGAGCCGGGGGGACCCTGGCGGGACCCCGCCCCCCCCCACGCCCGAGGACCAAGCCGGGCTCACCGACTTCGTCCACGTCCTGCAGGAAGCTCTGCAGCTCCCGCTCCTCCCGCCGCCCCGACATCCTCGGCTGGGGAAGGGCCCCGGGGCCCGGCTGGCTGCGGGGCGGAGCTGCACCGGTTGGACAGCCGAAGCGCTCCGGGAACCGGCTCGAAAACTCCGCCCGGAGCCCCGGCGGGCGCGTCTGCTGTCGCCCCGGCAACCATGGGCGGGGCTATGCAAAGCGGAGTCGCGGCGGGACGGCCCTCTTGTGGGAAGGAGGGAGACGCGGCCGCGGAACCCCCTCCTTTCGGGCGGGGCTATGCAAAACCCCGACGCGGGGGGCGAGCGCGAGGCATTGTGAGTCTGCGCTCTGGCCGTTGCTGCAATTCCCACCAGCCCTTGCTCTGCGCAGCGGCTGCTGGGAGTTGAAGTCTCGAAAACGCAGGGGAAGCCCGGTTGCCTACAGCTCCCACAGTTCCCAGCCGCTGAAGGTTTGCAGGACTTTCTGGCTTGGAATTCTGGGGGTTGAAGTCCGCGCGTCTTAAAGTGGCCGCGTTTGAATTCAGGCCGGATCGCCCAATACTGTAATACTCACCAATTCAATGGAAACTAAGCATCTTTTAAAACACCTGAATTTCTCTGAACATCTCAAGTAGATTTCTTACTTGTTCCAGCTTGGACTTCATCCAAGGCTCTCTGAGCAGCAAATAATATTTAACAATTTTTCTATTCCTTATTAAGGACTTCTCAGCGTCCCTTCTGGGAGCACCCCAAAAAAATTCCCCATGGAGGCTTACAGAAATGCAAGCACTTATGAAGCAAAGCAGATGTTAGACCAAGAATCCTAAAATTCCTATTTTAGGGCAGTTACTGCTAAAAAAAAGCCAGGAGTTTCAATCTTCCACTGAAACAATGCACAATTTATCTGCCCTTGTTTTCTATTGTGGCCAACAGAAGTGCCAGTAGCTGGCTGCACTGTTGTTAAGACCTATAATCTGATAAAGCAGAACACACAATAAAAAGTAAACAAACTGAGTCCGTATGTTGCATCTTTGCCTTTGCACCAGCGAATGGACAGATTTTGGCCAGAAGTGACCTTTTTGCCCAGGCAGGCCAGGAGGACACAGTCTGCTGCTTTTAGCTGAGAAGAACCCATCTTTCTGGCCTGGATATTAATATAAAAGATAAAGGTTTCCCTGACTAGTCACGTCCGACTTTAAGGAGTAGTGGTCATCTTTGTTTCTTGGCTGAGGGAGCCAGAATTGTCCGAAGACATTTCCGTGCTCACGTGGCCAGCATGGCTCTATGCCAGTGGTTCTCAACCTTTTTAATGCCATGATGCCCAACCGGTCGTAAGTCGAGGACTACTCAACCGGTCGTAAGTCGAGGACTACTCAACTGGTGCAGCACCGTTTGCAGAATGGGACTTTTGGCGGGCTCAGCAGGGCAGAGACAGCCTGGACAATTCCTATTGGCTTTTGAAAGCCAATAGAATTAGACTCTATTCAAGAGAGTCTATTCTATTGGCTTTCAAAAGCCAATAGAATAAAAGGGAGTAGCACAGCTAAGGAAAAGGGGGAAAAAATGGTGGACTGCATTGTTTGGCGACCCCCGTGAAATGGTCGTTCGACCCCAAATGAGGTCCCGACCCAGAGGTTGAGAACCACTGCTGTATGCCAAAGGCACACAGAACGCTGATGGCTTCCCACCGAAGTGGTACCTATTGATCTACTCGCATTTGCATGTTATAGAACTGCTAGGTGGGCAGGAGTGGGGGCAGGAATGGGAACTCACCCTGTTGCACAGAGCTCAGGTCTTGAACCCGGGCTGCCAACTTTTCAGCTGACAGGCTCAGCTTCTTAAACACTAAGCGTCTTGCCCTCCCCCTAGATATTAATATACAGAATATTAATATACAGAACAGCAATTTTTATGAATCAATGTACTTTAAAATGTAACCAATAACACATATAATTTTATTTCCCCAAAGCTTACAAAATTGCCTATATCTTTCCATCATAGACGTACCACAGTATTATGTTGTCCTTCCATATAATTTTATTACTGTTATCCATGGGCTCTATCCCACGCACCAGATAACAATGGAGAGGGAAGCTGGATCCCCTCACCTGCCACTAGATGGCGGCAGTGGCTCATTTAACCATCGCAGTCTCCCTCCATCCCAAATTTCTTCATTCTAGCTCAGTGTTTGTCAACCTTGACAATTTTAAGGCATGTGGACTTCAACTCCCAGAATTCCACAGCCAGCAATGCTGGCTGTGGAATTCTGGGAGTTGAAGTCCACATGCCTTAAAATTGTCAAGGTTGAGAAACACTGTTCTAGCTGCTGTTTTCTGGAGAGGTGCTGAGCAGGACTTTCTCCTTCCCTGTCCTCCCCCCAACTTTAGACTGATAAGCCATCACCAAAGGTTAGTTAACCTAGCAAGAAATGGGCAGCCAAATGCTCCAAATCTGATAGAAAAATCAAGGTCAAGAACAGCCACTGCAGAAACTTAACTCTGGAGTGGAAAACAAAAGGAGGCACTGGATTATAACACTGTCCACTAGATGGTGTTTGTGGCTAATACAGTGGGTTTTTGTTTTTTTTTTCAATTTTATGACTTGTGGACAGCAGCTCCCTGAATTCTAGGAGTTCAAGTCCATACCTCATAAATTTGCCAAGACTGAAAAAAAAAAACACAGGAGTCCCCACCCTTGGCAACTTTAAGACTTGTGGACTTCAACTCCCAGAATTCTGGGAATTGAAGTCCACAGGTCGTAAAGTTGCCAAGGTTGGAGACCCCTGGGCTAACATGTGCAAAGACTAATGGAGAGACATCATGCTCCTTTCCATTGGCAAATCGCTTTCACACCAATCCCTATTTGTCTTCTCCCACTGCAGGTTGGCACGATCTCGTTTGGGAGAGCGGCCTCAACTGATCAGGATCAGCTCCAACCAGCTAACATTTGAGCACAGAGAAGGCCAAGGAACCAGTAGCCAAAAAATCAGGAGGCGTTTGGTAGCCCAGAAGCTTCTGCTTTGATCGTATTGGTTAGTGGGAAATCCTTGATGGAGTCAGGATTTCTCTTGCGGTCCCCCAGCTGCAGCGACATCCCAGGAGGGCTGGGGAAGGGGCTTCGTCACACAGTTCCTGTCGCAGCACAAGGAAAACTGGCTTTGAGACAGGCACTTGTGGGGCAAGGGAACACCAGGAAGAGGAGGAGGGGAACAAAGCAAAATACAGGTAGTCCTTGACTTATAACCATTTGCTTAGTGACCGTTCAAAGTTACAACAGCATTAAAAAGTGACTTATGACCGTCTTTCACACTTATGATCGTTGCAGCATAATCAAAATTCAGACACTTGGCGACTGACTCACAGTTACGATGGTCGTAGTGTCCCGAGGTTACGTGATCCCCCTTTTGCGACCTTCTGACAAGCAATGTCACTGGGGAAGCCAGAGTCACTTAACAATCGTGTGATTAACAATTGCAGTGATTCACTTAACTCTTGCAAGAAAGGTCACACAATGGGGCAAAACTCCCTTGACAAATGCCTCACTTAGCAATGGAAATTTTCAGCTGAGACCTGTAAGGAGATTCTGCACTCAGATGCTGAGGCTCCAGAATAGCTGAGCTAAAAACATGATGCAAAGCACTTTGCTACACAACATAGCATCTTTGGGAACCCCCAAAGCTGCCCTCTTGATGGCACCGGAGTCTTACCTTTGGTGTAAGACAAAGGGACGTCTACAGTCAGCAGGCCTCGGCTTCAGAAGCCCCGCACGGCCCGACAGCCAATGCCACAACAGCCCCACAGGGCATACGCTCAAAGCACCCCCCAAGTGTGCCAGGAGATCCTGCACACCAGCCCGTGTTTGGATGTTCTTCCTCCTCCAGCACTGAAGGACTCAGACCTTGGACAATGCAGCGATTGTCCTCCTTGGGGGCTCCGTCAGCTTCCTCCTTCTCTCCTCTCCATTTTGCTCCTTGCCCTGGAGACACACAGCTTCCAGACAACCGTCCAGGTTAATCCCGGCCCACCTGTGAGTAGATAATGGGCTAATGGCCTGAGTAGTAGTAAATAAGAATGGCAGGTCTCAAAACCCTTGAGCTTTCCCTTTCCCATCCTCCAGGCTTAACTGCTATTTGACAGGCCAGCCGATTCCTTTACCAACTTTGTGCTTTTAATTAAAGCTGTCAATCATCCCAGAAAACTCATTAAAATTGCATTCAGCTTGGAGGATAGGGGGCACCCAGCAAAGCGATCTCATCTCCTTTTCTATGCACGATCAGGAGGGCTGGAAGGTATGCAACGAGGTGCATAGAATTCATAGGGAAATCACTCTCTGGTTGGGCTCAAGACAACCACGGACGGTATGAACCACAGATTCAGCTGAGCATCTGACGACTCGGGTCCCCTTAGCAACCTCTTTTCAATCTCACCCAGGTCAGTTCTTCTTCTCCATTTCTGGGAGGTCAAAAGGAAGGTCTCAGCTGTTGCTGAGATCACCCCCAACTTAGCAGGGGGGGGGGCAGGCTTGCTCCACCTCCTGGCTCCCTGGAGGCTGGTGTAGTTGGAGCTGTCCAGCTCCATGTTGACCCTGAAGTCCTTTCTAAGAGTCAAAATGCCTTTGGCTTTCTGGCGGGCCTTTGTCTCCCCCAAGGAGCTCTCGTGCCCCTGCAGGACGATGCTTCTGAAAAGGGCACCATTACCAAAGTTGTCAGAAACAGCTGTGATGAATGTGCTCCACCAAACCAATTGGGACATCAGGCATGTCAATGGACTGTAACATCGCAAGACACAAACTGAACGCAAATACTTCTTGGAACGCGAGCCGGTGGAGGACTGATCCAAATTGCTAGTAACCGTTTGACGGCTGGGATTGGCAGGAGCACCCTGGGTTCTGATGGAGAATGGCAGAATAGAGAAGCCACAGATCAAAACTCAGGCAAATAAGCTCAGAGGAAATCAAGCCTAATCGAGGAAGCACCGAGACGACTCCCACCAGCAGTGACAGGGAGATCAACAGGGAGCAAACCCCACACTCTTGTAGCACTGATGAGGTTATCTAGTAGGGTTATGAAATGTCTACAAGAAAACAACCAAACTCAAGAGAGCACCAGATCTATTCTACTTGACAAAATGGGCTTTGTCAAGTAGAGTTGCAGATCTTTTGGAAGCTGGTAGTCCTGGCACATCTAGAGGTGCCAGCTGGGTTTCTGTTGTTTTCCTGCAGATGTTTCATAACCCAACTAGGTAACCTCATCTGTGCTGGAAGACAGTGGCCTTTGCTCTCTGTTTCTCTATTAGTGGCCTGCCCTGTCCGTGCTGGTGGGAGTCGCCTCAGTGCTTCCTTGATTAGGCTACCCATAATATGCCTAGGAAAAGGCAAAGCCACCTTTAGACTATCCCTTTCCCAGAACTGCCCCGCAAGACCAATGCAACAGAGGCTTACACAAAATCCTTTTTTTTTTGGGGTAATTTTTATTTGAACACAAGTATTGTGACAGAATGCAAAGTCAAAATTCTTCGTTAGCATCAGTATTTACATTGGTGAGAATGGCAATAAAGGTGGTGCCCATTGTTTCACTTGGTAAAAAGTTTTTTGTCTTTTGTTTTGTTTTTTATAACAAGAGAGAAGGCCCCTGAAAGAGGGATGCTGGAGGGGGTGGGGTGGGCAGAGGGGTGAGAGCCACCGTCCCCCCTGCCTAAGGGAACCGGGGCTCTGAAGACCGTCCCACAGTCAGAGGAGACGGGTGGGGGGGTTGCAGGAGAAAACGCACAGTAAGAAACAAACAAAGTCGAACCCTTTGGGGTAGAAACCAAGCAGATAATGTGCTACTGTCTTTCCCCCCCTAATATATTGCATGATAAAACACGTTTACTGTACTACAAGAAGTATGAATGCCAGATAGATAGATAGATAGATAGATAGATAGATAGATAGATAGATAGATAGATACCGATGGTGCATACATATCTAGATGTACACATTGTAAACAGTGGGGCTGTTGGTCCCTCTTCAAAGTTTGTATCCCCTTAGAAAATAAAATATAAAACATGAGCGCAAAGACTCTGTTCTTTAAAAAAAAAAAAAAAAAAGGAAAAGGAGAATGCCATTTCCGAATGAAGCCCACAACGAGCCCAGCCCTTTCCCTGCAGGGAAGGAAGAGGCGGGACGGCCGTTCGCTGGTCAGGACATGGAGTCCTCTCCTTAAGGGATCGCCAGCTGACGTTCTCCAGAACCTTCCTGAGCCCCGGAAGAAGACCACGCTCCTGCTCGGGAAGCGACATGGTTTTCCAAGCCTTCAGGAGCCCCACAACTTTTCTCCACAGTGTCAGGCGAGTTCTCCACCCATGTGAGAGGATCAGCCTGGTGAGGTGTCCCTGTGTGGCCACCTCTGAAATGGACGGGGAGGGTGGAAAAGGAGCAAATTTCCACCATCCCCCCCCCCGTCTCAGCCTTCCTGGGAGCCGCTGGGGGCTTAAGGACACAGGGAGGGGGGGAGAAGGACTGGCCAAACAGGCTCCCTTCCTGGCAAGGCCCCCCTGTATGTTCCTGCCCTTGTGAACCTGCTTAGGATCATCTTCCAGGGCTCCAAGAAGGAGGGTGAGTGTCAGATGGGTGCCCCCCCCCCCGGCAGGAGCTGAAGGCAACCACAATAGAACTGAGCAAAAGGACAAGACTGCTTCCGCCCCCCCCGCCCCCCCCCGGAAAGCCTGACCAGGAGATGATGCAGCATCACACCCGGGTGTGCCCGGAGATGCCGCTTGCGGCCCCCCACCCCTCCCTCGGCCCCGTCTCTGCCCCCAAGGAATGTTACATATCACATTCAGTTTCACAGGTTGTACATTTATTGAAAGACGAACTCCTCTCTGGTCAAGAACAGCTCTTTTTTTTTTTTACATCTCCTGAACCCAAGAGGTCTGCTTTCGGGTTTTGTTTTTTTTTTTTCTCGATCACCCAAACTATCCCTGCTACACTTTCCACATCCGAACTAGATTGAAGGTTTTTTTTTCTTTCTTCGATTAAAAAAAGATCGTTACTATGACAAAGAACACATTTCACATTAAGATATTCACGCACTCACAGTGCACAAGCTTGCAGATCTAATGATTAAAAAAAATGAAAACAATTTTTTTTTTTTTACAAAAGGGCTGTCTTTTTCACTTCTCTATCCCTTTTTCCACATTCCCATTTGCAGAATAATATTTTTTTGAAAAGCTAAATTACAGTTTTAGGCACAAGACCCTGGCAGAAATTTGTGAATGCCGAGTTTGCACCTACCAGTCTCTTACAATAACCCAGGAGTAGCCCTTGTGGTTCAAACAGCACTACTCCGGCAAACAGCAGTCAAGACTGTTGAACGCTTTATTCGGTCCGCTTAACATTCTGACAAGAAGCAGCATTCTAACCCCAGCTATGGGGTATTTTGAACCACTGGCGATTTCCTAAGGGTGTTCTAGATCAGTAGATCCAAACTAGAACCCCCACTCCTTTTGCAAACCCCTTTTTGCCCAGGTTTTTGCGTTAGGCAAGGGAACTGCTAGCGCCCAGGAGAAAGCTGACACCATTCACTCCTGGAGCGATGAAAACAGGGGAGGGAAGGCCACCTGTCTGCGCGTGAGCCTTTTCACAAAGCATGCCTGTGCCAGATGCAGCCCTTGGAGGCAGCATCTTGTTATGCCAAAACAAGCACCCTGGTCCTACAAGGGATTGCTTGTAACATTCAGAAATTGTGCAGTGCCAGCGCCCTTGGCCCCACTGACTGCACGGCTCCCTCCCAACACAGCAAGTTCCTTAAACAGGAGAGTCTCACTACGTATCTAAGACTCTGTAGGCTGAAACTGGATTTTACCTACAAAGAGAGGATGGATCTATATGTAAGCCAGGACACCCAAACCGAAGGAACTGCATCCTCTATCAGCAGAGACCAGGGACTTCTACCTAAGCCAGCTGCTTCTTTCCCCAAGGGGTCAAATGGCCAAAAACCCCCTCGCCCTGCCAAAGGTCGCGTTTGATGCACTAATGGCTTTTTAAGGAAGATCTCAGCTCTAACTGCCTGGATCTGGGAAAGTCCAAACCGGCTCTCCTAAACAGGTCTTGAATGGGACTGGGCAATGCTGGGGCTGCCAAGCTAAGCCTTTGGATCCCTTGCTGAATGGCTTCTCACCCTCCCCCGGCCAGGAATCAGGATGGACACCCACCGGATCCGCCACCAGACCCTGGCCACCCTTGGGGGCTGGAGCTTGGGGCGGGCTGCGTCTGTGCCAGCCCGGTCCAGCCCAAGACGCGCCCTCAGTCTATACATTCTTTAAGACAGATTTACAGTTCTTACATCCTAGCCTTAGGCATATTTATATACATACATTTGGACTGCACTCCAAGAAACCTCCAGGGATGCTGCTTTCCAGGGCCATAAAAGTACCCTCAAGGTTCAACTTGGCCAACAGCCTTCGTGACATTTGCATTTACAGTACGGTTATTCTTCCGAAGCCAAGCCACGATTAACTGGCTCCTGAAATTCAACACAATATATAATTCATCAAATATATTAAGTTAGGAAGGAACCGTTTATCAACAGCAGGAGGTGCCACTCCCCGCTGCCCCCTACCTGGATGTGGGTGACCTACCAATGTTCCAAATCTCCCTATTTTTCAGTGGAGAGCAGGTGGGGGGGGGTCTCAGGGACGTCCCCACGGCTCTTCTGGAGGCGACCCATCCCAGGTGCTCTCTGGAAGGTTACAGGAAAATCTGTTGCGAGTGGACAGGGTTGAGAAGGAACCACTTGAGCATCACCCAGGCCAAGTTAACTTTTGTGGATTCTAGGGGGTAGGTTAAGCACCACGTGGGGATATTCTCCCTTAAACTCAAGCACTTTGTAAAATCTTCGGGGGGGGGGCTACATTCCTGCCTTCCCAAACTCTACTTCCTTCAAGGGGGTGCTTAGAGTTTCCTGCATGTTTCTCAAGGAACTAGCTTGGACCAAGAGACCAGCTGGCCCTTAATTCACCCATCTCTATCAAAAGAAGGATCAAGGGAAAGGGGAGGGTTACTTGATTTTCTTACTTTAGTAAGAATTAAAAATAAAAATAATTAAAGAAAGATAAAAGGGAAAACATCTATGTAAACATCCATATTTTAAAATGTCTCCCTCTGCAAAGCAAGCATGCTGGCCCACCTATTATCTATATAGCCTGCATTTTAGTTTCTCGGTCAGTCTCTCTCTCTTTTTCTCTTTCTCTCTCTCACTCTCTCTTTCTCTCTCTAAAAAGGCAGCTATTTTACATACTTTTAAACACAAGTTTTAAAAAAACACATTTTGTTGACTGTAAACACTGGAAGAAAAAAAATGTTGGCAAAACAAATGAACAAGAAGGACCCCCTCCCCTCCCACAAAGACAGAAGAGAACCAACAAACGAACGGAGAATACTGTGATTTGAAACCGGTCTCCCTTCTTCAATGCAAAGATAGGAATTAGAACTAAGGAGTCGAAGGGCGCCATCAGCTGCAGCCTCTTCCAGGAAACCCAGGGAAATGAACCGAGGTGCTCATTGCCAAGGGTTCCCCCAGAGACGAAGAGCGGCTGGGCCCCCAGGCTTCAAGACATGAGAACAGGGGTCAGTTAGGGAGGACGAACGCACCTTTGGGACCAGAAGAAATTCAAAATCAACCAGGGAAAAAAGAGGGAGGAAACGGTCTCTCCACTTAGCTGGAATATATAAAAATAAAAGATTTGTGGCTGGCGGTACTATTCTGCTCAACCACGCCTTGCTAATTCTGTTTCTGATTCTCCCTAAATTTGCGGTAGTTAGTTTGGTTTCACTGACACCTCTGCACAGATGTTTTGCACAGACTCTCTGCTGTGCTACCGAGGACGTCTGTCCTCGAAGTAGTAGTAGAAGGGGTAAAAAAAGAGGGGGTTCCTTTCCTCTTAAAAGCAAGTGCACATGAAAGTAAGATTCTTTCTACAAACCTACCCAAACAAAAACAAAAAACAAAAAAAAACAAGCCCTAATAAAAACACCCCCCCCAATAACGAAACACATTTTCCCCATTGTATGCATTTTTTTTGTCTGTTTTCATTTAAAAAAGGCAAAGACACTAGAGGAATGAGATGTGTATTTTTTCTGTTTTAAATGCTCAGGTGAAGCTGTTCTGTCATTTTTTTCTTTTAAATTTCCATCTGCTCTGCTTTTGGCCTGGGTGCCCCATCATGCTTTGCTCTCAGTTTCATTTGTTTGTGTGGCTTCGGTGGGGACCGTCTTCACTTCTGCAGGGGCTGCTGCCTTGTTGGCGTCTGTGGTGGGGACTGACGGCTTTTCTTCTACAGCGTTTTTCCTGTGTGGAAAACCAGAGAAACACGGCCCGTCAGAGGGAGGTGGGTGATGCTTGTTTCCAGAAAAAGGGCAGGAGGGACCAGGGGCTGGGACCCCTCTTGGGCGGCTGAGGAAGGGACTCAAACGTGCTGGATGACACTTCGGTCATCAATAGCCACCCTTTCTGAAAGAATGATCTGGAGGTCACTAGAAAAACTGTTTAAGAATTGGCTTGGTGAGAGATCTTTCTTTCTTTCTTTCTTTCCTTTCTCTCTCTGGTGAAGGGGCTTTTTTATCTGTTTTAGGTACATCACACAATACAAGCACTTAATGGACTTGGGGAGGAGGGTCCCAACAGGGAAAATAAGAAACCACTTTGGCCAAATTGGGAAGTTGTTTGTGAGAAGCTCTGGAATCCAGGCCCTCCGGCCATGATGCCAACAGAGGGCCTGTGGTCACTTGCTCCTCAGGACCCTCCTGAGCCCAGGACCCTTGTCTTTCCTGCTTCTCCTAACCTGGGGTCAGGGTGGGAGAAGGACAAGTTTTAGAAAGCCCCAAAGATGCCACCTGGCCTTCCCGACCTTTGTAAAACATAAATTCCCTTTTTGTTTCCTATTTGTGGGGAGGATGACCCAGCACGAACGTGTGATGGGGATAATTACCATAATTATCTCATCACTGCACAATCTTTTTCAACAAAGCCTCCATCACCAGAACCATATTTGGGGAGGACAGCCAGTCCTTTGGGATCTGTTCAGAATCCAGTTTTTCCAAACTCCGGATTTCCTTCAAGATTCTTACAGCTCTTCCATTTTTCAGCCCTTCTCCTCTGTTCTTTTCCAGCTAGCAATCCCAAAGTCCTCACAGGGCAGGACATGCTCTGGCCAGGAGACTGCCAACCCCCTCCCCCTTTGGGACCCCTGATGCTTCTCTGAACCCCGGAGGCAGAGGTGGGCACGGGGATGTCTACTCACCACCGGGTAGGACGTGCCCAGAATGGAACTCTTAACCATTCAAGGATCTGGCCAACCAACCCAACCTGCTCCTCCTGGCAGTCTCAAGGGACCCAACCCTCCCTAGATGGGCCGTAACCCCTCAAGTGGCGTCTTGGCTTCCCTTTGGGGGGGAGAGCCTTCGAGCGAGATGGGGAAAAGTCAGTTTCACCAGAGCGCCTAGAGGACTGGATGGACCCCACACGCCAGTTGTGATGGCTTGGTGAAGGAGCCACAGCACAGGTTAGCTTGCTTAGAGGAAAAGCCAGGTTAACACAGAGAAGGGGGCAAAGCAGTGGGCCATAGAACCCCCTCCCCAGCACAGCACAAGAAAGAGAAGGGGTGCATCGCAAAGGGGCGCAAGCTGGAGGCCTACTCTGTCTTGGCAGACGCTGGCAATGCCGAGGTCTCCAGGGTGGGCACGGGGGCCACGGCTGGGGCTTCGGCAACGGGGGCCGCTGTGCCCAGGGCGGCAAAAACATCCTTGGCAAGGTCAAGATCAGGCGTCTTGAAGGTCCCCTCGTCCATTTTAAAGTCCTCATTCTGAGGAGGTTTTCTGGTGCCCCCCGGGGCCACCTCGCCTGTCTGGCTCCCCGCGGTCTTCGGTGCCTCTGTCGGACTCTTTGCTGTGCCGGACTGGGTGGCTTCCTTCTCTGGGCTTCTGGCACTGGAGGCCGCCTCCTGCTTGGGCTCGGATGAGGCTGGAAGGCTGGCTGGATTTGAGGGTGGGGAGGCAACGGCAGGGCCCTTGGGAGCCTCGGGCCCCTTGGCGGTGGAGCTGGGACTCAACACCGCCCCCTGGTGGTTGAGGACATTGGAGGATAGATTGCCAGTGGCCGGAGGGGACGTGGGGGTGTCACTGAGGTCCACCAGGGGAGCCACTTTGGGGGCCGAGGCCGGGGGAGGCGAAGATGCCGTGGCAGCTTTGGAAGGCGTGCTCTGGCTGGGGGGCCCAGCAGTGGCATTGGGTATGGGAGTGTCTGGCAGTGTGATGCTGGAGGTTAGCGTGGTTGTCTCACTGGTGGGGCTATTTTGGGCAGTGGCAAAAGTCTCAGTGATGGTGTCAGAGTTTGTGGTGACTGTGGTCACTGACGGCATCATGTCCTCTGTGGCTGCCACGGTGTCGGCAGGGTGCCTGTGAGGAGGGTGGGAAGCGAGAGAGAGAGAGAGAGAGAGAGAGGCAGTGACAGCCGTCAACGTCACAAGCGGCTGGAGGAGTCAATGCAACAGCCGGACTCGCATGCAGTTATTTTGGCACAAACAAAGGGGAGGAAGGAGAGAAATAGAGGCAAGAGGGTCGAGCCTGAGGAGAGTCATCCAGGCAGGACGGGGCCAGCGGTGTCGGGTGCAGGCCACGGCGACCTCACGTGTCTTGGCGCCACTGTGCCGATACAATTGGTGCACATAAATCGTTCATCTCACTGGTACTATGACACTACAATGACCACGGCACTGCATGGGTACTTAGAGGAGGGGTTTCTACAGATGGGGGAGGGGTGAGAGAATCCTGAGCTTGTAATTAAACACAAAAATATTCCCTTTTGGAGATGCTCAGTTTGGGCTGGACATTCCTCCTCTCTCACCCTGCTTGGGGTTCCCAAGGGTCAATTGAGGCAATAGACAAAATGGACTCCAGGCCACAAAAACCCACACAGAAAAGGAAATGCATGACTCTTTCGAGGCCCATAAGCCACCTCCATTTCTCCCTTAGGATAGCCAGATTTCCAGATGCTGGACCTGCTTCCACAGTGGCCTCCATGCCCTTCTCACCCTCACTCACTCCTGGCACCCAACCTGGGCACCTGGCACGAGGCCCACAGAGGCCGGGAGGATGATGAGCATCCTGGTGTTCTCCTCCAGGGAAAGTGCCCCCCCAACCTACTCTGGCTCAGTGAGCGGGGTTGTCTCGTTTGGTTCTGTGTGTTTGCCTCCATCGTGATTGGGTGTCCGTTCCTCTTCCGTCCGCACCTCAACGATGGGCTCTTTTGATTCGTCCTTCCTGCAAGGGAGGGAGGGATTCAGAATTGTAGTCTCTCAGTTTGTTCCCGAAAACGTTTCCTACTTGCAACGGGTGGAAACTAATCAAGGAGAGAAGCAACCTAGAACTAAGGAGGAATTTCTGGACAGTTAGACCAATTAATCAGTGGAACGGCTTCTCTCCAGAAGGTGTGGATGCTTTGGAGGTTTCTAAGAAGAGACTGGAGAGACACTTGTCTGGAACAGTATGGGGTCTCCTGCTGGAGCAAGGGGTTGGACTAGAAGATCTCCAAGATCCCTTCCAGCTCTGTTATTCTGCCCCTTTCCTACTCATTACACTGCTGGTGGATTACGAAGGCAGCACTCTGACCCATCTCTCCTGGCTAGCTTGCAAAACGTTAAACAGAGCATGGCGGAAACTCGAAATAGGCAGGGCGATGCTAAAACCTTCCTTATTTAGATTTAACACAACACAGTTGTGACTCAGCTGCCACCTTCTGCAACGCATCAACTGTGGGGAAGGAGAGATGGCTTCCTCCCTCTAAGCAGGGGAGCGGGCTTCCAGTTACTCACGAGAAGGCAGCCTTGCCCTCTTCCATGTCCTTCCCCTTTGCGCCGGGACCCGATTTGCCACACAGGTTGACGGCGATGCACATAAAAAGGCCGCACTTGTTCAGGAAGTAGCAGGTGACGTCCACGGCCACCAGCAGGAGGACGAAGATGACGATGAGGATGCCCACAATGGCTGCTGTGCCCAGTCCTGATGTTGGGGTGCTGCTGGCTTTGGACCCCAAAAGGAAGCAGAGAAGATATGATGAGCAAGGAGGCAAGGCCACCTTCTGCTTGGCTCAGGCCCTTTCAATCTCCTCTCTGCCCAACAGGAATACTACTTCTCCTCTCGTCTGTGGAGCGTCTCAACCCTCCAGGTGATATGTTGTCCCAGAGGTGCTTTCCGAAAGGCAACTGGACTTTCTTGGCCTTTTCCTTGAAAACATGGTGTTTCTCATCCAAGAAGCATCTTTAGAACTGAAGAAGTTCTGAAGAAGCTTCTTGGATGAGAAGCAAAATGTTTCTGGAGGGAAAACCCAAGAAAGTCCAGTTGCTTTTTGGAAAGCAGCTTTGGGACATTACTCCTCTCTCCCAAGCAAAGCAAGGGAAGACAATGCAGCTCCTGCTTAGGCCTGGAGGGGAGGTTTTGGAGAGGGCGCCCAATGAAAAGAGCAGCAAGCACCGCACTGCGTTCCACCTCTCCCTGTTTTGGACATTTTCAGGAACGTTTGCCTAATTTCTGTAAAAACTCTTGTTGAGCTGGGACCAAAAAGCTTAGAGTAGGTGGAAGCACCATGAAAACAGATGGCTTTGAGATTATTATTCTATTTCTTTTAATGGATTACAGCTCTACTGCAATTGTACTTTTTTGTTTGTTTCTGTTGCAGCATCAAAAGGTTTTACATACACTGTTCAGGCCAATCAACATTCTGTGCGTGCAACCTTCAATTGGTTTTACAAAACTTCCCATAGGTTGGGAAAGACATTCCCCTGCCCCCCCCCCAAAAGCCATTTTGCTCCAGACATGTGAGGTGGTTGCTGTCTCGGGGGTTCTTTTGTGGGATCAATTTTAGCAGAGCACACAAAGACACTGGATCCAACGCCAACCGATTCAGAGGACTTCTTGCCTCCTTCCCCAGAGAAGGCAGCATGTCGGGCGTACTTCCCTCTGCATCAGAAGTCCATTAAGGTCTCTGGAGCAGGGCTGTACCTACCTGATCCGCTTGATGCCAAGATCTACCATTAAGCAACTCCATCTGCTCTGGTGAGGATAGGGAGAAGACCCCAAATGCATTTTCCTTCTATCTTACAGTCTAAATTCATGGATGGCTTGCTCAGCTATGAGCAACGTTTTTCTCTTGGTCTATTCCCTCTGAGGAAAGAGTTTCGTAAGCTGTCAAGTTTTTACTTCTTTTCATCTCATGAATTTCCCATGATGGACGTTCAACATGAGCCATTGTCTATTGCAAATGCCTACGGAGGGTCACGGCTGTCCCAAAGGTGCTTTTTCAAAAGCTTCTTGGATGAGAAGCAAAATGTTTTCAAGGGAAAACAAAGTCCAGCTGTCTTTTGAAAAAGCACCTTTGAGATGTCCACCACAAAGGTTTCCGGGCGCATTTTTCACCTCAGATCTGAAAACGCTGTTAGGGCCCTTCTGGGGGCAGCTTTGTGCCTGCCAACCTGACCTTGTTTGGGGGAAATGAATCTTTCCTGTCCTGTGCCCAAACTTTCAGCCCATCTCTTAGGAACTGATAAAATATCACAAGGAAAGACTCTGTATTTGCAATGAGACAATGAAATTATTTATTTTCATGGCTGCAGAAAGAAAGTTCTTTGATTTATGCCCCCCCCCCCCACTCCAGAGCAAGAAAAAAGCAACAGCTATTTTTGGCCCACTGGGGAAGCAGTTTTGATACAGCTATGCATATATGTATATATATTTTAAAAAAAATAGGTGTCTTATATAACCTCCCCCCTCTTTTTAATGCAAATGTGCAAATATCATGAAAGGCTTCAGCAGAATTGCTGTGACAAAGCAGAACTGTCCTATAAATAGCCTTTATGGAGAGCATCCAGAGTGGTCCAGGAGATGCCAGGTTGAAGCACATGGATTAATGCAGTTTGGAAGAGGCCAGGTTGGGATGATATACAGGGGGTCCTCGACTTCCGAGCACAATTATGTGTTGCTAAGCGAGACATTTGTTGTGAGTTTGCTCCATTTTACAACCTTTCTTGTCACAGTTGTTAAGTGGAACCCTGCGGTTGTTCATTGTTAAGTGAATCTGGCTTCCCCATTAACTTTGCTTGTCAGAAGGTCACAAACAGAGATCACATGACTGTGTGTGTGTGTGTGTGTGTGTGTGTGTGTGCGCGCGCGTGCGTGGTGGCTAGACATGGTTTGGGTCCTAACAGGTCAATGGGCATGGAACAAGAAAGGGCGAAAGAGGCTCTCGCCCAGCCTGCCTCCCCAGCCTAACACCCTTCAAATTTGTTGGGTGTGGTAGTTCTCTGAAAAGCTGATGTAGGAGGAACACACACACACAAACACACATCATTCATGGGCAGAACCTAAACTGCTCAACCTTTACGGCCCATTCAAACAGATCTGGGGAAATGGTCCAAGAGAAAGATTTATCTGTCTTAAGAAACAAGAGAGCCCTCCTCTGCATGTTGACCTTCCCTTCCCCTGAAGCAGGGCTCTCCAAACTTGGCAACTTTAAGACTTGTGGACCTCAACTCCCAGAATTCCCCAGCCAGCTAGGTTGTGGAGTTGAAGTCCACAAAGTGGATGCAGATCTTGGTCTCCATTGTGGGAGGATCTCTTCACAAGCAACTTCACTGGGGACGAGGAGAATCAAGTCAGCGTCTTGTTACCCCATGAAATCCTTCTTACATAAGGCGACTTTAGTCCAGACTCACAAGTCTGATAGCCCCATTTTGGTGTTGAGGATAGACAGGCCTCCGAGAGCTCCAATGGTTGACAGTCCCCATCCACTTCATCCAGCACGGGGACGATGGCAGTGAAAGCTCAACGAACGCGATGGGCACTGGGTGGGGGAATGGTGTGGGAACACAATGGACTTTGCTGCTTGGCGCCATTGGCAAGGAAACGTGAGGGGGAGGGCTCCACCAGGGATACAAATACAGGGAGTCCTTGACTTACCACCGCAACTGAGCCCAATTGGCTTAGCAAAATTGGAGTTTGACCGATTTTACGACCTTCCTTGCCACAATTGTTAAATGTATCCCTGCAGTTGTTAAGTTAGTAGCATGGATATTAAGTGAATCTGGCTTCCCCATTGAATTTGCTTGTCAGAATGTCACAAAAGGGGATCACTTGACCCCGGGACATAGCAACCGTCATAAATATGAGTGAGTTGCCCGGTGTCCGAATTTTGATCACCTGACTATGGGGATGCCGCAATGGTCGTGCAAAAAACGGTCATAAGTCACCTTTTTCCAGTGCCCTTTGTAACTTCGAATGGTCACTAAATGAACTGTAGTTAAGTCGAGGACCTTTGCAGATACACCTAATCTGCAAAGCTTATCTTTTGCACTTCCTTTGGCATTATGGCTGCATTTTCGTCCTCCATTTTATAGCGGGCAAAGGAGAGTGACGAGGGGAAACGGAGACAAAACCTGCTTTCAGAAAAATCAACTTTTTTCCATTACAGCTTGAAAAGTGTAAGCGATCGGTTTTATTTTTCACAGCCAGGGGCTCAAAAGGGGTTAAGAGGAGAAGCCGTTGTACTTCAGGAGAGACATGCAGAGAATCTTAAAACATGCCCGGTTTAAAATATTGCCTCCTCCTTCCTCATTGCAAAATAGCAAATCTCTCTGCCCAAAAGAAAAATATTTTCCTGTGCTGCACCCACCCCCGCCCCTTCCCACGTCCCCCTCCCCGGACAGATGCCATCCTTGGAAAACCAGGGGCCCCCTCTCGGTGTCCGGCCTCAGGGGGACAACGGGGGTCTTCGGAAAGCAGCTGCTGTGTGTCCCTAGCAGAGCCAAAGCAGAGCTGCTGGGATCAGGAGCAGAGAGACCCAAGGAGACGAAGCAGCTGGACTTCCCAAGGTGGCTGCCACAATCAAGGAGGGTTCCCAGGATTAGGAAACGGGGACCGGCGTGGAAAGGGTCGTTTTTTGAAAAGGGAAATGTCGGTGGCGCAGGCAGAAAAGTGGATGTTTCCATTGGGGTCCAAAGTGGCATGTAGGACAACAGAAACACGAAAGGAACAACGGGGGTAGAAGGGAAGGGATCAGAATAAAAAAAAAAAAAAGAAGAAAGAGAGAAAGAGAGAGAGAATAGATAAAAGAAAAAATAGGTCATAAATACAGAAAAAACGATAAGAATTTTAAAAAGTTTTTGCTTAACTCAGTATAAATTAAAGAAAAATGTTCAAAAAGTTAGAGAAGAACAGAGCAGCGGTAGCAGCAGCGGCAGCAGCGATGATGGTAATAGAGAAGCCTGATGGGGAAGCCAGCAGTAAGAGGGGGAGAGAGAATAGGGATGGGGGGAGGACTGGGGGCAGCTGACACTGAAGGGGCCGAGGGGCAGAGGAGAGGGGTCAGGTCATGACTGAAGTGCCTCAGGCCTCCTTGGTCCTCCCCCCCCACCTTTGCACAGAGCAAAAGGGGGCAACCAGAAACTGTGAGAATTTCCAGAATAAGAGACTTGGAAGGGACCTTGGAGGTCTTCTAGTCCAACCCCCTGCTCAGGCCGGAAACTCTATACTACTTCAGACAAATGGTTGTCCAATCTTTTCTTAAAAACTTCCAGAGCCAGTTTGAGGTGATACAGCCCAGGCTGATCTTAATCTCCTGAGACTAGACTGCAGTTCCCAACATAGCCTGTTTGACTTGGTGGGTTTGCTTTCAATTAAATTCAGTATCCAGCATTAGGTAAGACATCCAGTTGAGTCCTAGGCAGGTTGTCCAAATTAAGTTTCTCTTTGCATCTCTCAACCGAACACGCCTATATTCAGTCAAGTCGGAATCTCTGTTGTTGTTGTTCAGTGACTAAGTTGGGTCTGAGAGGTCTTTCCTGCTTTCTAAGCTTGGAGGACCAAATATGGCCACAAGTACGGATGGATACTACCTAGTTTATTCAAGGCCTCTATCAGTGTTCAAGAACGATGATCTTTCCTGGGTGGGTCTTGTCCATCTGTTGTCAGTCCTGGACTAGGTTCCTGGTCATGCAGACAGGAAAACACATTTACTTTTCCTGTCCAACATAAAGAGCTACATAATTGCTCTCTGGAAAATGAGACTCAGTCTCCTCACACTGAGGCTGGCTCACAACTGGTTTCCATGCCTAAAGTGGGACTAGAACTCACAATCACCTAGTTTCTAGCCTGGTTCCTTCACCACTAGATCAAACAGGCTCATGGTTTACCAAATAAACTGCAGCAGGCTGGTTTGACATTTCCTTCGACAGATTAAACTGAAAGCAAATAAAACTTATTGTGGCTTGCCACAAAGTGTCCTGAGGTCACCAAGTCCCTTTCTTCTGCTTGCTTTCCACCAGCCAAGAATGCCATTCAACCTTCCGCCAATTCTAAAATAGCAACTAGAGGTTGTTGAATTGTAGCTCCTGCTCTCCTCACCACCACATTTTGGACCATGTTTACTGAGATTGACTGGGACTCAGGCACCAACTCGGGAGGGTCCCACTGAGCAAATGCAGAAGGTCAAGATTTCAGTAGGACCTTCCAACCAGAATGTCAAAGTTTAGAGCTAGCCTTCTTCAGAATTTGCCACAGAAATTTGACTCTGAGCATTTAGAAAATGTAATGTGATGCCTTAATGCCGAATTTCAACCCACCAGGACAGACCTCATACAAACTGGAGATTTTTCAGGGGGCTGGAAACACAAGATGAAGGCTAGAGGACAGGCCGGTTAAGAAGTTGTAGATTCAAATTTTTGCCAACTAAATCGTGTTTTAAATATACCTGAAGTCAGTCTCCCATTCCATTCCCCAATTAGATTTATTTCAAATGGAGCTGTACAATTTGTCTTTCAGACAAACCAAGGTGAGGGGCATTAGAACTGCTGATGTGGCTGAATGAAGCGTCAGTTGTTTTAGTATGTTACTGGACATGACTATAATGAAACTGTCCCCTCAAGTGAAATATAAATCTTTGGCTGACAAATTGTATCGAAGACCCATTGCAGCCTATGTCGTGCAGAAAGAAAGAGAGAAAGAGGGAAAGAAAAAAAAAAGAGAGAGAGAGACTGACTGTCTTCCCCTTCTCAATCTGTCCCTCTGGAGGCTGTGGGAAGGAAGGAAGGAAAGAAAGGAGGAAGGAAAGGAAGGAGGGAAGGAGGGAAGGAAAAAAGAAAGAAAGAAAGCTATAGAGACCACCATCTTTTTTTAAAATGCCTTTTCTATGTGATCGCCCTCCATCACTTTCAATTATTTCAAAATTAGGGCTGGCAGGAACTCCAAAGGGCGGGGGGATAGAGAGGGGTAAAATCTGCAGTATTTTTAGTAGTTGCCCACCCAAAGCAAAACCAACAATACAAAGGAGCTAAATATAAATACACACTTAATTTGCATCCAGCTCTTTGTAGCCAGGCATTTGAAGGAACCGTCTTAGAAGAGAATGCACAGCTGACCAGGTTTTCTCATACCGTTACTGTCTTGGCCCCTGGGAAGGGGACGATCAGCGACAAGTGGAGAAAAACCAGTGACCCAAACTGGTGGGTTCCCCCACTTGCCCCTTGCCTTCCTTGGAAGAGCCTGACTCAAAAGCCATGCACAGCAAATTCAACCGTCTCGAGATTTGCCGGGGGAACCGACCACAGATGGAGCACGCATACCGCAGACGGGCCCTTTCGGGATGTTCGCGGCTGAAGAGCTACGTTCTAAGATGGATTACCAGTTATGAGGATGACTGAAAGCAAGCGAGTTGCTGAGGAGTTTCTGTTGCTTTTTTCTCGGTGGTTTTAAATTGAAGCGCATTAAAGGATGTGGTGCCAGTGCATTAAGTTCAAGCGGAAAACAAGGGTAGAAAATGAGGGGCTACCTGGGATGATGGTGGGCTGGGCCGAGGTCCTGAAAGCGTAACGCGCTGGCTTAGACTTCCCTTGCTGGTTCTCTGCAATGACGGTGACTTCGTACTCCGCGTTCCAGTCGAGAGATTTCAGCATGACATGGTCGCTGCCCGAAGGGAGACGGATTTCCGGTTTCCAGTCGGGAGATTGTTTCTGCAGAAAAGTGGGAGGCGTGGGGTAAGGGAGGAGGAGAACGGGAGCATGAGCACCATGGGGCTGGGAAGTTTCAGAAGCTTGACACGAAAGACCAACCCATCCCTTGCATCCTTTAGCTGTTGGCTTTTGCACCAAAGCTCTTGTCTGGTCAGGCCATCAAGGTTCAGTTAGCAGGACATCAACCAAGGAAGAAAGTTCTCTGGTGTCCTAGGCTGAACCTTGTCCTGCCCACCTGGGGAGGGGCTCCTGCTCTGCCCCTGAGCCACAGGGGTCCTCTGACATCATGGCATGTTGAAGCTGGAGACAGATCCCCATGCTAGCCACCTGGCCATTAACAGAACAGCTTCCCAACAGCGACTAGGAAGGTCCTTTGTAGGAATCTAGGTGATCAATTAAATCCCCAAAGGAAGGAGGGGGGATGCCCAACTTGCTGTGATCTTGTCCCATCCTTCTTTAGTAAAGAATTTCCTGGAGAACCTTGCCTTCTGTGGAGATGGGGCACCTGGTAAAGGAGAAGTCTAGGAGTATAAGTAAGGCAAGTCAGGCTGCTGATGCCTCTGTCTTAGTATTGGCTGAAGCTTTTCTTGCTCCACATGGAGCGTGCCAGAATTAACAAAGTTATAAACGATGGTGAGACAGGAGCATCCCTTATGGCAAGGGACTCCAATGTTGGCAACTTTTAAGACCTGTGGACTTCGACTCCCAGGATTCCTTAGCCAGCCATGGGAATTCTGGGCTTTGAAATCTATCGGTTATAAAGTTGCCAAGGTTGGAGACCCTGACTTAGGGGATGTCATGGCACCTGCCTAGAGCCTCTAGGCCAGTGGTTCTCAACCTTTCTAATGCCGCAACCCCATAATACAGTTCCCCATGTTGTGGTGACCCCCAAACACTTATACATCACCGGGTGCCAGGGGCGTGGCCAAAGAAAAGGGGGAAAAAATGGCGGACAGCCTTGTTTGGCGACCCCCATGAAATGGTCATTCGACCCCAAATGGGGTCCCGACCCACAGGTTGAGAACCACTGCTCTAGGCATTTTCATTCCAACAGAAGCTCTAGGGAAGAACATCATGCTCCATAGACCTTCACTGGCTGCTGGGGATGCCTTCAAAGACAAGATCACACAGAAATCTTGATTACTTTCATGCTCTTCCACGTTCCCCTTTTTCTCAAGCCCGCCCATCCTTGGCCTGCTGAACCCAAACAACTGTACACTGAGGCTTCCCCAGTGGAGGCTGGAAAGGGTTCTGGATGCCAGCAGAATGTCTTTGTTTGCCCCTGGCCAGGGCAGTTTGCAAAAGAGCCCTAGTAAACTCAAACACATTCCTACAAAACCTGGGGCCTTGAGTTATTTCTGCTACTGCTTCTCCCATCTTCCTTTTCAAAGGAGTAGTACAAGAATAGGGGCTGAATGAAGATTTCCAAAAATGAAACATTTTCAAAGGAAGTTAATGGTGAAGCCTATGGCAAGTATTTGAAAATGCTCAATATTTTCCCAGAGAAATAATGCAGAGAAGAGGGGGAAACGGGAAGCAGAAAGACATTATAGCCACATTTTAAATGATCTTCTTTATCTTTCTTAATTTTGATTTTGAGTTTAAAAGAGAAACAGGGCTTTCCTACAAGGCACCTTTTTCTAGGAAGCTACTGTAATCTTTTCTCACTAAGCACAATAATTCTTTCTGCTTTTTCCAACATTCAAATGCATAGAAATTTATCTGACAAAATGACTGACTCAGCTAAGGGTTGTTCCTTTTAAATATCAGCCGAGAGTTAAAAACCAGCCTCAGAAGCTAAGTGAGGTTTGTCAGCCAGACTTACAACTCTGTATTTAATGAGATAGTGGCGGATGGGGGAGCCCCCGTCGTCCTGCTTGATGAGGTTCACTTTGATGGAGTTTCCGTCTTCTCCTATGTGGCCTTCGAGCTTTGGCGCGCTGGGCTCCCCTGCCAAAATGGGTGCAATTGCACATTGAACGGGACAAGCAACAGACTCAACAAATACACAGTGACATCCCATATTCGACCCAGTTAAAATATGCTCCTGTGACCCAATTCAGAAGGTTGGCCATCTTCATACGACCAATTCCATACCACCTCCATCTTTTCACTGCAGCCTAAAAGTTTGTCATGAAGCAAAAGGATTTGAAGAAGATTTTGTAGATGACCAGGCTGAATCCGAGGGAGGAGTCAAGCGTGTTATCAGTTTCGCATCCCTTTGTGCCCACAAGTGGTCAAAGTCCAGCCCTCCTTGAATTCCATTGACTCTTATCTACCGCCAATTTGCCTTAACCGTGGCCAAAGGGAGTAGGCAGGAAAACTGGAGGGAGCCTGGAGCTTTGCCTTAATGTTTGCAGAATTTGAATATTGTAGAAGTGTCAATAGACATTTTATATATTTCTTGCATTTATATCCCATTTCCCTTCATGATCTGAAAGATGTGCATAGTGTTTCCTTGTCTCATTTTTTTCCTCGAAGCTAACATGTAGACATTTTCTCCTCCTTCCCCCCCAGCTGTGTGGGGGAAAACACAACAGCTTTGTGTTGACAATCACATAGCCCTTCTTTGGTTTCTTGTCAAATTTCAACAGGAAAATTTTAGAAGACTCTGGAATCTGCAAGAAATTTGTGCACTGATTGCCCACCTCTGCACCAGAGGAACCTCTGGGCCTGCCTATGTTCCCATCTAAATAGCTTTTCTGTTTCAGTTCATGTGTACACGTGCACACAGACACACCCTCTTGCTTTTGTTGTAGGAGCCTAAACTATAATAACCACTTATATATATCCTACAGAAGCCAACATGAAGGAGAAGTTGAAACCAACATGAAATTTTCAGGAAACTACCCTGAGAATTCTATTTTATTTTCCTTCCTTGCTCTTTCCTGAAATTAATTGTTTCTTCTGAGAAGACCACTAAACCTTGGCAACTTTAAGACTTATGGACTTCAACTCCCAGAATTCCTCAGCCAGCAAGTCTGGGAGTTGAAGTCCACAAGTCTTAAAGTTGCCAAGGTTGGAGAGCCCTGTCCTAAATGATGCTAGAGTGAGGATAGGATGAGCATGCAAAAGTGTGGGTTGGCTGCTGTACCCGTGGATGGACCAAAAAGAAAACAAGGAAACCCAAAAGCCAAAGGGAAGGGAAAGAAAAGACCACCTTAAGATGGTCAAAAGAAGTTCCAGTGCTACCTCCTGCTAACAGGAACCTCTAAATTTAAGCAACTAATCATCTAGAATTTCTCTCCAGTGGATAATATTCAATGGAATGCTTTTTTCCCAGGCTCACCAGTCATGATCAAGAGTTTTGTTTAGAAGCAGCAAAAATACGGACAGCTCCTAAGTTGGAACAAGTGGGGAAGAAAAGAGTAGTAATCTGACTCAAGAGGTCTTAGCCATAGTCTTAGCCAAGAGTAGTTACTTCAAGGTTATTAAGAAAGGAGACATAGTAGTAGCTGCTGGCAAGTCTCTAGCAGAAGATACTCTAAAGAAAAATGTTGAGTTTTTTTCCTAAAATGTCTAAAAGAAGAGGTCCAGCTCCTTTCTGACCAGGTCTAGCCTGTATGTCCATTCGTGTTCGGGATGACTGGTCTGATCCTGCCATCCCTAAGAAAAGAAACAAGGCCAGGGCTCCCTTTGTCTTCTTTCTGCTGAAAGCAAAACTTTTCCCTCCCAGGACCCAAAGAATGGACCTATTTTGCCCTGGAGGGGCAGTGACCAGAGAATGCCAACCCACTGCAGGTGAAACAGGAAAGGATCCCTCTGATCTAGTTTCTTGCCTTCTTGCAACAACTGAAAAAGGGTCACGCTCCGAAGATCCATTCCATCGCTTGCTAGTTAATGGGCAACTGAAGGAAAATTGCCCGCTCCCTCTTCCCACTCCAACTGCTTCCAGGCCCTCACCTTTGATGGGGGATGCTCTGGCTGGAAATGATGGAGGAGGAGGAGGAGTCGATGACTGTCAAAGGGCTCCCTGCATCCTCCCTTCTCCAAGGGCATTGATTTATGCCTCCTTTTCCTCCAAAGGGAAACTTTCTGACAAGCATTCTGGGGCCCTGGCAGTGGCTGGAGACAAGTGGAAGTCCAGAAGAAGCATCAGGCCCAAGATGAGATCAGACAATTCATGGCTCAGGGTTTGGTTTTCTGCTCTCCAGATAAAAGTGACAGATTGGGAGATGGAGGGTGGGAGGGCGGAGAGATTTGCACCAGGACAGGTGCAACTGAAGGGAACCCAGGCATTGTTTTTCAATAGACAGAAGTCACCCAGCACTTTCCCAAGGACTTCTGGGAAACTACAGCCCATAAATTAAAATCAGGATAGTACCATAAACTCATTAGGAACAGAGGGAAAAAAAAAACCCTGTATGTGCGCCCATTGCTCACATTAGAACATTTGGGAGGTGCAAAGGGGGAGAGGGCGGGGGAAAGTAAAGCTACAGACGAATAAATAAACAAATTGGGTATTATTACCTGATGACGATGAACATCTAGAAAGTTTATTCTATAAAGGAGATAGAGGTGGGGTTTTGTTTTGTTTCATTTTAGCAGACGTCAATTAAAATAATTATGGGAAGGGTGAGATATTAGAAAAGAGTGAAAAGGCACAAAAAACAAATCACAGAAATTTCAGAGACAAATGGACCGTGTCTATGACATGAGTGATTTGTTGTCTTTGCCTAAAATCTATTTTGACAAATCTTAATTTTTAGCTGTCAAAATAAACATAACAACTGAGATTATCCCAGGTCCTTTTTATTGTTCACAGTCCTCTTGATTAATATCTGACAATGTATATTGATAGTTTCCACCCATTTTTATTTAGGGACTTTTTTTTTGTAATGTTTAATCTAAACATTACATTCCTTTTTTAAAAATTGTGCAATGTTTTGATTTCTGCCTGTAAAATTCATCCAGATAGATAATTAAAAGAAAACAAAAGGAGCTTGCATGAATTTTAGGTTTTTCTCATTCTGATCTCGCTCTAAATCCAGATTTGCCAGCAGTGCTTGACTGCTCCTTCTCAGATCTCAAAGGCTTACGGAGGAATCATATCAACAGAGGGAAGCTGGTTTTCCAGAGTCAGGACAGACCCGAGGATGGATCTTTCCACTCCTCCCCACTCTTTTATCACTTCTATATGGAAAGGGGCTTTGAAAGTCTGGACCAGACTCAGAATGATGTTAACTCTCAAATAACGAGCGCTGAAGGAAAAAAGAAGTTAGGGTTATTATAAAGTCAACAACCCCCACAATCCGAGAAAGAGAGGACGAGACGACCACACTTAGAGCTTGCCCATGCAACCTAGAGGAAAAGGAACACAACCTCTTTTTACACAGCAACTCATTTGCCTTGAATGGATAACAGGGACAGGTGACCGTTGACTTCGGCACACACCATCCCTAAGCCCTGACCGTGCGAAGCAGGCTGGCAGTCCAAAAGGCAGGTGGGCCCTTCCCTGCCTCTTGCTTCAGCGTTCATGCCCTCCTTTGTGCATCGAGAGGAGAAAGGAGCCATCTGCCCCTCAGGTATCTCAGGAGCAAAGAGGGACATTAAAATGCAATGAAGGAAATGGTGTCTTTTCTTTGCAACAGCACCGCTTCTCCTTCAGTTCAGCAGGAGGGAGAAGAGCCGCCCTCTAGAGTGGACCCAACTCGGAAAGGCTGAGCAGGGGGCTATAAAAAAATGTTTGGTCCCATGCCTCTCCTTGGAGCACAATTAAAGACCCTTCCCCGCTTCCTGGTCCTATGCCATTAAGCGCCTTTCAAGGCTCTCCCCACCCCCTTTGGTCACTGTGTAAAAAGGATTGAAAACTGTGACAAAAGCTCCTGCCACAGTTTCAAATCACGAATGGCACTAATCACAAGTTTAGTCAATAGTTGAGGTAGAAAGAGACACAGAAGAGAAAGAGGGTTAAAGTAACACACAAAGAAATGAGATGGATGGGGGGGGGAGGGAGAAGACAACAGGCTGCACACAATCAAGAAGGCCGAGGGTTAGTTCCAGGGGGATGTCGCCCAAACATCTGTGGAAGGAGAGAGAGAAAACAGGACAGTGGCTTCTTCACTCCACACGTGGCAACAGCTGTTGAGTTACTCAGGTTAGTTTCCCTGGCAAACCCCTGCTTGAACGCAAAAGGGAGCAGCATTCCGAGATGGGGGTCAAATGGGGTGAAATGATGATGGCCTTGGGTGCTTTTCCAAATAAACTATTGATCTTCTGAGAAGCAAAAGGGCAAGTTGGTCTTCTCAAATGTCAGGCGGGGGCAAATCAAGTGACATTCTAGACCAGGGGTGCCCAAACTTGGCAACTTTAAGACCTGTGGACTTCAACTCCTAGAATTCTTCAGCCCTACCAGAATATTTCCTCTGTGCCAGTTTTATTCCCATTGGGTGAACCAACTCTGCAAAACCCTTTGGTCATGCAAACATATGTAAACTCTCTCTTGATTGACTTAATGGCTGACATTTATATAAGTGACTCACTTCCTAGCTGTCCTCTGCCTTCTCAATTTCCCTGTTCAGGGAAGATGAGTCTAAGGAAATAGCAATTGGATTAAAAAAAAAAAAGAGGACAGAAGTACGGTAGTCCAGGAGAAGGGATACTTAGCACTTCCCCAAGTGATGCTTCTTATTACCTCCAACCTCCCTAAAACATAAAAACATATAAAACTGACTGCAGAAAAAGACCTAGTGATCCATCAAGACTGCTCTTTTGAGTTTTTTGTTTTTTTCTTTCTTTTCTTTCTCTCTCCTTTCCTTTATTTTTTTATTTATATAGATTTTATTTTATTTTTATTTTTGTTGGATGATGGACACGTGCTCATTCCAAGCATGTTTAAACTCAGTTACTAATGACTGACCCACTACCTCCTCTGGAAGTTGGTTCCAAGCTTCCACTACTCCTTCTGTGAAGTCCTACTTTCTAACAAGACTTTTGAACTTCTCTCCTGTCCCCCCACACGAGTTTATCCAGAAGACTTTGCTTAATAGCAAAAACAATATTTTTTTTTGCTTAACATCTGAGCATGCTTGTTTGTGCCACTGGCATGAAGCCTTGGCCTCTTATCCAAGCATCTAATCACCGATTGCTGCTAGCATGGAGGTGGAGAATAGGTCTTCAGCCTTGGGCTACTACTTAGTAGACCCAGTCCTAGAAAACCAGGGCCAGATGGGTCTTTCAGAGGTCACCCAAGATCTTGTGTTGCAACAGGACATGTTTGTCCTGGATTTCTTTCTCTCCTGTGCAACATCAAACTTCCTTAATCGGATGGTTACATCAATGCAACCATGGCAGCATTCCAGGTCTCGCACGGTAACTGGGATTTGCTGATGGACCAATAACTGCAGGATGAGCAGACAAACTCAGTGAAGAAGCTTGCATTTTGTACTCAGCACTAACCACTGGGCCTGCAGTTTATCTACACGAGTATATTCAGAATATGTTTTTATCTGCAACATGTTCTGGAAGAAAAATACACCTGATAATAGAAATTGAGAAAGGGACCCCTGGCACAACGGAAGCAAACAATTTAGCCTGGCACCCCCAAACACAGCAGTGACTTGCCCTCACAGAAGAGCAACAGAAGGATGAATTTAGTTGGGTTGCATGCAGACATAATGTGTTGAACAAAGCTTTAAAAAATAATGAGAGGTTATAGAAGGAAAATTTTAAGCGATGACAATTCAGAGGTTCTGAATGGAAAAAAAAGGTATCGTGTTTCTAATTTGTTTTGTTTTGTCCTGTGCAGAATTTGTTAACTAATCAGAACAAAGGCTGTGTTTTGTTGCTGTCATTTAATTTTTTTACCTTCTGTTCACCAGCGTGGACGACATCATCAGCACCATGCAAGCCACATGACAAAGTCACATGATACGCACGCACATGATTTGGTTGAAAGGAAAGTGGAGGAAGTCACATGAAAAATACAAAAAAAAAAAAATTAAAAAAACTGATGTAAACAATGGGCAAAAAAGAATCAACAACATTTACAGATTAAAGTCTAAACAAAATCAAATTAGCCATTCTACTGAAACACCAGAGCAGACAGTTAAAAACAAAACAAAACAAAACTCCACCAATCTAAAAAAACACAAGATTATTATTAAACAAGCGCAAGCACTGAGGTCCTTGTAGGGAAAGGCTGGGTGGGTTAGGCAGAGCTCTGGGGCAGCAGATTAATTAATACCAAATCAGATAAAGAGTCACAAAACATCACTGGGACTACTAGAGAAGGGTTCCTCTTAGCAATCAACTCCTGGCACAGCCGTAACAAAGGGAAGGAGGGAAAGGGAAGGGAGGGTAGTGGAGGGGAGGGGAGAGGGGAGGGGATGGAAGGAGAGGGGAGGGAAGGGAAGGCCCAGGGATTTCATTTAGCAACAGGCCATTCACCCAAAAGGACACTAAAGAAGAAAGTCAGCTTCTAAAATTTAAGGCAAATGGAGCGGGCTGCCTTCCTTTAGGCATCGCCTCTTCTCTGTAGGAATAGAAAAACAAAGGAAAACCAATAGACCCCATGCCCCCCCCCCAGTCTTCCCACTCTGCTAGCTGTGAAGGAAGATAAACGGAGGGTGCCTAGCCCAGACTCCAGGTTTTCCATCATCAGTGCTCCAGGCCAACTGGAAGAGTCCATTAGGATGGGCCAAGTCTTCAGAGCTGAGCAAGACTCTGAAAGGATCAATCAATAATTTTGCTGTACGTGGAAATTCCCGAGGCGTGTGTGTGTCTCACAGTGTCCAAAGGCCTCTTTGCTGGCTTGGACAGCAGTGAAGGTTGATGCAACAAGCGCCTCCTTTTCACATCATTTAAGAATTGTTCTTGTATGGCATCATCAAACCAGCTTCTCCATTATGACCTAACTTGAAAACCTGGTATAACCCTAAATATCGTATCAGCAAGTTAACATCTTTTATTTTACTTTATTTTATTTTTAATGAGGAAGAAGGATTGCCTGCTCAGGACAAGGCATGGGTGATCGGCCAGCGAGGGAGGCCAACTGGTCTCTTGCTACGAGGAAAGAGCAGCCAGAAGGACAAATCTTCACAAACAAGCCAAAATCCCTTTGCAACAGCATCTCAAAGTCCACAGCCCAGATCAACCCTGTGGTCTCTAAAGCAAAATCGGAGGCACGCAAAGCTTCGTGGCCTGGAAGGGCCCTCATTAAGCAACTCCAGAGTCATACAATTTGGACGCAAATCTTGAGCATTTCCACTGTTTCTCTGCAGCCTGACATCTCCTGGCCTCCTTCTCCATTAATAGCTGCTCATCTCATGAAACCTTTTGGCCCCATTCAGATTCACAGCTTGTAGGCACCAAAATAAATGGTGATATGGAAGGAAGAAAGAGGAGACCATTTCTGAATGAAACTCCTGTCGCTCAGAACCTTGCTTTTGAGCAGCTCTGTTGTGGAAAGAAAAAAAATCTAAGACCCCCAAATCCATTCGGAATCTTCTCAGTCAAGAACCCCTGTCCATTCAGAGAGGCTTGATGTCACTTGCCTATCTTAACTTTCACTCTTTTCTTCTTCTCTGTGAAATAATCTGGTGTGTGTGTGTGTGTGTGTGTGTGTGTGTGTGTGTGAGAGAGAGAGAGAGAGAGAGAGAGAGAGAGAGAGAGAGAGAGAGAGAGAGAGAGAGAGAGACTCTATTCCCCTCTTCTCGATCTGTCTCTCTGGGATGAGAACAAACCTATTCAAACAGCCAGGATGCCATGCCACTCTTTACCACTGCAAAGAGGTTGAGTTTTCATTAATCATCTGCTTCATCTTCCATCCAAGGTCTTTCTTGAACTTTCTCAAATGGTCCTACATCCAAAGCACTGTTTAAGTTTAAGGACTGGATGCTTTGGAGATGTACAAAAACTTTTCAAGGACTTGGTTGTTTTTTTTATATTTTCTTTGAGCCCTTCAGATTCATCCTGCTCAATGTTGAAATATAATTTAATTCATCTCTGCCACTTGCAAAGATCAATAAGCTACTTATAACGGGTGCATGAAAGGAAGCATGAGGAGAAGAGAATAAAGGCTTCCTGGAGCATGGCTAAAAATCCCAATCACATCCATGTCAATGCCTATGGTTTTTTTTCTCCTGCGGCGAAGTTGGGGGGAGGAGAAAGGCTCCCTCTCCCTTAATTCACACCCATCTGGTCCACATTTGCTGGACGACCAGCCCTCTGAGACGGCAAAGTCCCAGCCACTGACTGAATGGGACCCTGGTTTGGGGGGGAAGCAAAGGGGCAAGAGCAGAGACTGTGTGGGGAGGGAGGGAGGGAGAAAAGGGGAGGAAACCATCTTGCTCCTCTCAATCTGGTCCGGTAATTTCAGTTTTGATGGGATGCTGGGTTGCTATGGCAACATAAAGGATAGATAAGACCCATAAAGGTGAAGCCTGCTGTGAAGATAAATTATGAAGGAAAATAAAAAGCAGAGCGGAGAAAGAGAGACAAGACCTAATGAGGAGAATGAACACAAAGGAGGAGAGACTTTGCCCTCTGGATTTACTGGCTATGAGCATTAAGGTTAGAGCAGCTTTTCTCAAGCTGGTGTCCTCCAGTTGTGCTGCACGAGGACCCCCCACCCGCCCTTGGCAGCTGCAGATAATGGAAGCCTTACCTCAGTCCCTGTGAGGGACACCAAGTTGGGGAAAGCTGACTTCATGTGGCGTCTTGCCAAGGTCGCCCACTTGCCAAGACTATGGGGAAAATATAAGGACTGGGTAGGGGAAAGGAAGGGAAGGAGGAAGGAAGGAAGGAAGGAAGGGAGAGGGGGAGGGAGAGGGGGAGGGAGGAAGGGCCCCAAACCTCCTTCAGGGAGGGTGGGATAGAAATGTAGTAAGTAACCACAATGTCTGAAGAAAAATGGTAGGAGGGAAGAAATGGCACTGGATCTGAAGCCTTGGCAGAGGCAGGATTCAGAGACACAACAGACATCTGGCTGTCCACAGTGGAGAAATGAATATCCCAGTCACTAGAATTGGGAAGAAAGAGGTCCCCAGTAGAAGACAAGGCTCGGAAGAACCAACGCTACTACAATTGTTCTACAGAAAAGGGCAGAATATGGTCCCTGAACCAGACCATCCTCAATGGCCTCCTCTGCCTAAGGCAGTGTTTCTCAACCTTGACAATTTTAAGGCATGTGGACTTCAACTCCCAGAATTCCACAGCCAGCAATGCTGTGGAATTCTGGGAGTTGAAGTCCACATGCCTTAAAATTGTCAAGGTTGAGAAACACTGGCCTAAGGTAAACCTATTTCTTGGCAAGAACTTCAAAAAACACCATGAAAGAGATTCTTCTCAAAAGGAATGATGTACTTTTGAGTCAGAAATATTTGTTGCTTTCCACATTCCCAAGGAATAACCTGGCCAAGGTGCCCCTGCCAGTCAGAGTGGGGGAAACCCAAGAGAAACCATTGTGTGGATTTCTGGAGATGGTGGTCAACAGATCGACCGCTGAGTGCCAGACTCCTGATTCCAGTTTCATCTGAATGCACCAGGTGAGTTCAGATACTTCTCGCTGTCTCAGCCTTACTCTCTCCACCTGTCTATAAAATGAGGGAATGATGCAAATCTACTTCACTGGTTGCTGTTTTTCTTTTGAACACAATTTCCTTCTAAAATCTTAGGGGGAAAAAAACATCAAGGAAGGATTATATCATTTGTAAGCTCTCGCCTCTCAAAAACTCCTGGAAGTTTTCTTTAAAAAATTATTTGAGAAGGAATTTAGAAGCCATTCAGGGTTGTTCTGTGTCCTTTCTCCAGCTTTTTATTTAATCCCGAAGAAGCAGAATAGCTCATCATGACACCAACACTGAGATTTCTATTTCGGGTACCTTCCATTGATGAAATTCATCTCTCATTACTTCTCTCTCTCTCCTGTTTAATTCCCCTGAAAAAAATTAGGTAATAACATCCTGGCAATTACATTCAAAAGGTTAACAGCTCAATCACAACGAAGCCCAGGAATCTTTCACAGCAACTTCATTCCTTTGCTAACCGCTTCCTCTCTCTCTCAAACTGCAATCAGTAACCTAATGAAATATATTGCTTCACAGATTCCATCTGGCCCTGATTATTTGACAGCAGATTTTATTTTATTATTTAGGAAAGAGGAAGGGGACTTTTTCCTGAAGCTGAAGAGTTGCAACTATGAGGGAGGTGGGCAATTTCTAAATGTGATCGATCAATAAATAAATAAGCTACAGATGTGAGCAGTTTTGAGGCCCACCCAGGTGACAAACACCCTCATGACCTTTCTCCAAAGGGCTGATCTCAGGGAAACCCCTTGCCCTCTTAAGAAATGCAAGTGCAAGCTTCTGTTTACGGCAGTTCTGGTGTCGCCGGAAGGCAAGACCCCACCCAGCCCACAGGATGGCTTTGTGGGGCCAGGTTCTCATAGACATGGCTGTGGCAGCCATGTTTTCCTTCCAGCTGTTCCACTGAAGGGAATCTTCTCTGTGTCCCTCTGAGAAGTCTCAGCTGTCTGCATTCTCTTGTATTAAATATTAAACTGTATAAAGTGGACTTCCTTAAGTATAGACCCGGCTCTTATCTACACAAGCTAAATCAGATCTCTCTGTCCAGCAGCAGGTCACGTCAGAAGCCCTCCAGAGTGAAGGGCTACTGCCCTCTTTGGCCTCCTGCCTGGAGATCAAGGCAACCGGCAATCTCCCACACTTTTGGCCTCATCTGCCAGAACTCTCTGGCATAGAAATTTTCCACTGAAAGGGAACTCAGGAAACCATGTTATGCTCCCTGATGGAAGACGTTTCATCTACAGTTAAGGCAGGGTAAAAGTAAATGGTTGATTCTGATGGTCTGGAATCCTAAGAGGCCTTTAAGACTCCTTTCATACCAAGCCAGAATAGGAATGTCCACTCTGGCCAGTTACTGTAGATCAGACTGTCTTGAAAGTTTATAATGAAGTCTGCCTTCATTCATCTAACCGAGAATAGATGCTGGCTGGGGAATTCTGGGAGTTGAAGTCCACGAGTCTTAAAGTTGTCAAGGCTGGAGAGTCCTGGAGATGTTTCTCAGTTAGATGAATGAAGGTAGACAGGGAGAGAGAACTTCTAATATTCTCTTTTAGGGAATGGTTCTTGAACTATAAACAAAATTCAAATTATGGAGAGATCAGTAATGTTCTTATGAAGTTCTTCCCCTGCTTTCTACATATAGACTTTCAAGACAGCCTTGAAAGGACTGTCTTTTTATATTTTCCCCTCTGTCTTTGCCTGAGCTATTTCTGCTATTTTTTTTCCTGCCTCTCTTGAACAATCTTTTCTCCGCAAATAGGGCCTGGCAGAATCTGACTGCCTTGCCTGAGATAGCTTGCGGGTATCAATATTGCATGTCCCTGCCATGGAGGAAGAAGAGAAGAGAAGAGAAGAGGAAGAGAAGAGAAGAGAAGAGAAGGAGGGAAGAGAAGAGGAGGAGAAGGGAAGAGAAGAAAAAGGAGAAGAAGAAAAAGGAGAAGAGAAGAAGAGAGGAGAGGAGAGAAAGAAAAGAAAAAGAGAAAAGACACCTCCACTCCAGCCAGGTGGCATGCAGATAGAGACAACATGCAGACTCTGGAGGTAAGGGGGAAAGGGAGCATCCACCTCTTGACCAGGTGTTAATGGGAAACACAACAGCTACTTGAGCGTCAGTATTGTTAAGAGAACTGATTTACCCACTACAGACAAGGAGAAAGAGAAGCAAAGCCAAAGAGAGAAATGTTAAGTTAGGAGAAATCACACGTGGATCTACAGGACACGTTAAAGCCGGGGCACTCTATGGAGAGGAACGGAGAAGCAGCACTTACGTGGCGGTGGGGTGCCTGTGGTTCCCCCATGGGCGGAAGACGGAAGATGTAAAGAAAAGACAGACCCCCAAAAAAGAAAAGAGGCAACAGAGATGAAAAGAAAAAAATTGATGGAGGAAGGTGCCAAACACAAGACAACACTCTGGGCCGCCCAACTGTTGAGGACTAGCTCCTCAGGAGGCGGACCAGCTTTTCAGGGTAAAATAAGGGTAAAACAACAACGGGCACAATGGGCCACCCTTCAACTCATTGCAAGAGTTGAGGAAATAGGTTACACATCACAGAACAGCTGCTAAGGAGAGGAAGGTATCGGAAGTCGTAAATATGGAGGTTATTCCTGCATCAATGAATTATGCAGGCAGCCCAGTTTCCTTTAGTTTTTTCTTTTTTCTTTTAACAGGTGGCCATCCTTCCAAACTTAGCTTTGTCTGTGACATCTCGCATTTTCCTTTTTTAAAACATGCATCCTGGGAGACCCAGAGGCGTTTCTATAATAAAAAGGCTGCTACAGACAGGGAGGCAAGGTGGGTAGCCCCTGCTTAATGCATTGAAGAGGGAGAGAGGGGGATGGGGAATGCCCCCCCCCAGGAGTTTTGCTGGAGGTCGCAGAAGCAGAGAGGATGGAAGAGGGTTGCTCTTGATCATTTCTGGGCAGGGAAGGAGGATAGCCAGTCAGCCAGAGGTGATAAAAGGGACCCAGCCCCTGAACTTGAGTAAGAGGGCTATATAGCTGAATTCGTCTCTCTCCAAATTCAAAGGGCGCAGATTTGAGATGCATCAGAAATAAATCCAATTTGTCTTTGAGTTTCCCAGAGCTTACAAATTATACAAAGCAGGGAGGATCTAAACAGGACTGCAAACTGCCCATCTTCTTCCAGAGAAGAAGACTAAGAGCAGTTAGAGCAGATACCCCTCACACAGAGGCTGGAAAAAAAAAATACACCGGCAGGGCCCACAGGCTCCCCCCCACTCGCCTGCTGCTCTGCCAGAGTGTGTGGGGGTCTTGCAGCCTATAAAATGGGAGTGGGAGGCAGCCCATTCATGGATGCTATTTGCCAAGCAGACATTTTTACGTCATTCTGAACCGAATTGCACTTGATCGGTTCTCCGCTAGCCAGGGGATTTTAATGCATGCTTCCACATTGCTTGGTCAGCAGCTGTTCCGGAAACAAATTGATGGGAAATTCAGGTTTGGATAAAACAATGAAGATCTCGTAGTTCAACCTGCCTGAATTTACCGCCCTCAGTTGCGGCGAAAGGTGGCTTTAAGAGCCAATTGTGCAAGTCGGCAGAAAGTGCTAAATCTGTTGCCGGACACGGGATGGGGGAGGACAAAACTGCCCCAGTTTTTCTCTCCAAGCACAGTCGGAAAGACCGCATCCTTCTTCACCTGAAGCTGATCTTCTAAAGCTATGGGACCCTATTCTTTTTTTTAATGTAAGTTTTTATTGATTTTTTTTAATACAGTTCAAAAGTACTTATTCAACAAATGTGTTGTCTGAGTTTATCACTCAAAATTCCTAATCTCTTGTTCGTTTCCCCAACCATTGATAAAATAAGTCCCAAGTTCCATTTGCGCACAATCTAACATTTTTTTAATTATTTCTTCCTCTGGTGGTATTTCTTCATTTTCCCAATATTGTGCGAATATGATTCTTGCTGTTCTTGTTACATGTAAAATTAAGTATATACTATGGGACTCTATTCTTAAGTAGATTACGGATCTCTCGGGGAGATCCAGTAGAGCTGGGACCAGGTAGGAGATTGGGACAGCCCAGCCTTGGAAAGAGCTGTGCTCCAAATGAGCTCTTAAGCGGAAGTACATTTTCAAAACTGCTTCACAGGTAGTTCTTGACTTACAACCATCCATGAAGTGACCAAAATTATAACAGCACTGAAAAAAGCGACTGATGAACATTTTTCACCCTTAGAACCGCTGCAGCCTGTCCGTGGGCAGCTGATCAAAATTTGGACGCTTGCAGCTGTTTCATATTTATGACTGTTGCCATGCCCCGGGGTCACGCGACCCCCTTTTGCGACCTTCTGCCAAGCAACCTCAGTGGGGAAGGCAGAGTCACTTGTTGCCAGTTTAACAACGGCAGTGATTTACTTAACAGTTGTGGCAAGATGGGTTGTAAAAAGGGGCAAAACTCACTTAGGAGCCATCTTGCTTAGCAACAGAAATCTTGGGGCTCAATGTGGCCAAGGTAAGTCGAGAACCACCTGTAGCCCTCAAGCCCATCTTTCCTGAGAGTAAAAGCTTGGAGGCTAAATCGGGGGGTATTTTTTTACCCTTCTAATCTCTTAAAGCAGCCCCCTTTCCCCCAAAACGGGGGTCCTGGCTTCCCCAACCCATCTCTAACCTCCTCCTGGCTTAATTAACAAGAAGATGTGAGGATCGGCATTTTTAAAAAACCAATAGAAGTAGCTGTAGCCGTGTAATAATAATAATAATAACACATTCCTAAGTGCTGATAGTGCACCCTCCACAACCCTTTGTCAAAAACACAACTGGACAATAGGATTTAAAAAAAGAAGAAAAAGAAGAAGAAAGAAAAGATCTTGGGTGGGATGTTCCAGCTCAGGGACAGGGAGGGAACCTGCGCAGAGTTCGGGAGAGGAGCAGGTGAGAGGTGAAGGATGGGCAGTTGACTCAAGAAAGGGCTGAGGGGAGAAGGGAGGGCTTTACTTACGAACTGGCTGCGTCTTGAAGTCGGAGAGGGGGCTGATCTCCCCGGTGCCTTTGCCGTTGATGGCCGTCAGTCGGATGGCGTACATGGTCTCTGGCTTCAAGCCGATGACCGTGAAGATGCCTTCCGTGTTGGCTGTGCCAGGAGAGACAGAAGGCAAATAGAGGATCAGAACCATCTCTAGGAATGTTCCACCTCACTTTTCTACCTTTGCTTATATGCAGCAGTGTGGGAAAATGTTAAGCCATGCCGGACAAGAGTTTATGCCATAAGGAAGGCAGAGACAGGCCGGCTTCATTTAGACGGGGGGTCTCCAAACTAGGTAACCTTGTGGACTTCAACTCCCAGAGGGAATTGGGGAATTCTGGGAGTTGAAGTCCACATGCCTTAAAATGGTCAAGGTTGAGAAACACTGCACTAGAGGTTCTCCAGAGGATCCAAGGGAATATCTAAAAAGGTTAAATCCTGGCAACTGGACCAAAGTTTATTAAAACCGAGACCTTTTGCTACTCATCCAAGTAACTTCTTCAGTCAAAATGAAGATTTGGGCAAGAATCGTTGGAAAGAACCAGCTCTTGCCATACAGACTCTGTGTGTGTGTGTGTGTGTTTCCCAAAATGAAAAAGCAACATGTAAATGAAGGTCATGGCAAAAGTATCTTAACAGGTTAAATCACGGCAACTGCACCAAACACTCTGATTCTCTGCCTATGCAAATCTTTATTTTGACTGAAGAAGTTACTCGGATGATTAACGAAACATCTCAGTTTTAATAAACTTTGGTCCTGTTGCCAGCATTTAACCTTTTAAGATACTTTTCGCCTGGGTGATTGGAGTCTTCGTTTGCATGAACCCCAGGAATCCATCTAAATTTGATTTAGGCAGAAGACATTTTCTGTAGGTGCAGCTAGGCTTTTTTCCCCAAAGAAAGGTCAGCGTTCGTTTTGGGGAGAAATAATCTGCTTCTTAGAAGAAAAGAGCTATTTTTGGAGCTGCTGCTGTTTCTTCCCTATTGCTTTATGGCTGTGGCATTTAAGAATTAATGCTTTCAAATTTTTTGGTTCTGCTTTCATTTTCCCGCTGGCTAGCTTCAGCCTTTCCCCCCCCCCATTTTGGGAAGGGGAGAAGAGTGTAAATGCGACCAATAAAAGGATCAAAGCAGATCTCTCTTATCAGCCAGAATGGAAAAGTTGCCAAGTTGCCCCCCCCACACCCTGCTTCCCTTCCCATCTTTTAATTGTACTTCAGTGTTTGACTTTGTGTGCTAACATATTTATCTTTGTACTCTATATACGTTTTTTTTGGGGGGGGGGTTGGTTTTTTTTTTTTGTTTTCTGCCTCCAGAAGTGGTGAATGCTCCAACACTGCAAGTTTTTAAGAAGAGACTGGATAGCCATTTGTCTGAAATGGTTGTAGGGTTTCCTGCCTGAGGAGGTGGTTGGACTAGATGACCTCCAAGGTCCCTTCTAACTTTATCATCATCATCATCATCATCATTATGATTGTAAGCCCCCCAGAGTTACCTTGAGGTAAGATGGACGGTCAATAATTTTTACAAATAAACAAATCATCAATGTGGGACAGGTTCTGCCCCCTCACCTTCTTTGGCGTCGTAGATTCGGGTGTGCCAGTCTTCCTCCCCGATAGCTTGCCACTCGGCCTTGTACCACAGGATGGGGACACCCCCGCTGGCCTCCGGTTCATCAAACTTGATCTGGGCTGTGCTGGAGTAGGGCTCCACTTTCTCAATGGAAGGCGCAGAGGGAGTATCTGCAGAGGATGGGAACCGGAAAAGGAGGTCAGGCACAGACTAGGCCAAGATTCTGATCCCAGCAGGAGCCAGTCGCTGAGGGAGCCTGGGAGGTTGAACGGTCAATGTTGTCAGAAGACGCTTTCATCCTCCTTTGATTTATTCCAGGGCTCTCCAAACTTGGCGACTTTGAGACTTGTGGACTTCAAGTCCCAGAATTCCCCAGCTAGCCATGGGCTGGCTGGGGAATTCTGGGAGTTGAAGTCCACAAGTCTTAAAATCATCAAGTTTGGAGAGCCCTGATTTATTCCAAAGAAAGAGAAGACCACTCCAAACTAACCTGCTTGCACAAGGATGAACTCGGAAGATTCCTGGCCAATCCGGTTGGCTGCTGTGCAATTGTAATTCCCGAAATCATTTTCTGAATATGGCGTCACCTGAAAAAAAGTAGGCTGACCAGGTGAGTCAGAGAAGGCTTCTCAGGAAGAAAAACTAAGCAAGCATTTTGGATTTTTGTTAATTAGAAGACAGTTTAAGGACTGTCCAAGTCTATATGGTGCACAGAAAATAGGCAGGTAATTGGCAGCCTGGCCATTCTCAGGTTACCAGAACGGAGATTAGGAACAGAGTCAGGAGAGAAGGAAGGAAGGTACATTTTTGCACACAACAAATTTATAGAATTTGTGGAAACAGATATAGAGGCACCCATTATCTTCAATAACTAATCAAAACCAAGCAATTAATGGAGATGGAGGAGGAGGAGGAGGAGGAGGAGGAAGAAAAGTGATCTAGCTCTCAGCCTGGAAGAAGGGAAATCAAACATAACATGTGTAAAGGTTGCACAACACCAAACTGGGATGCTGGGAAGGGAGCAAAGCTGCTCCTGAGCACTTTCATAGTCCTCGGGTGTCCCTGTAACTGTCTAAAGCACTCTAAACATGTGCTAAGTGTCAACTGGTACAACTATCCTAAATGGATGGGGTTGCCTGAGCAATGCCATCTTTGGCTTGAATCCTTGACTTTAGTGCGGTTCCTCTGTCCTTTGCACATCTTCTTGTGCGCCCACAGATGCAGCCCGCCCCTTCCCAGCTCTCACCTCCAGGTAACTGGCAGCTGGTGTGTTGTAGATCCGGATGTTGCTGTAGTTGGAGCTGGGCAGCAGCTGTCCATCCCGGAACCATGAGATGACAGCGCTAGGGTAAGCAAAGACTTCGCAGGTGATGTTTGCGGGGTTACCTTCCCAGGTGTAAACTGCAACAGGGCCCTGCAACTTTGGGGCATCTGGAACCAAGGGGGAGCAATGTTGAAGTCAGTCTCCAAGAGAAGGCATCAAGAAGAACATCTCCCCATCTTCTCATCCCTTCTTCCCACCCACCCTCTTTGCGTAATTCTGCCATGGCAACTAATGCTTCTCTAGATGATGCCCCAGGCAGATTCAGCCAATAAGGCCAAAGCAAAGGATCTTGGGCACGCAGCCCACAAATACACCATATTGTATTCCTTGCAAGATCTTGGGCAGTTCATTTATTTGGGGCAAAGGACCTCGGACTGCAGATCATTCAAACTCTTGACTATGTCTGTAGGCAGATGCAGTCAATTCTTTGCTCAGACACCTCCTATATTTGACTGTTGAGAAATCAAGGGAACTAGGAAGCCCAGGCAATGTCCAAGAAGAATGAAACTTCAACGAGACATGCTGTACAAACACAGCTACAGGTCCCTTTACTCAACAATATGTTCCCAAGAGTGGCCACCTAGAAGCAAACATTACTCCAGCTCATCAGCTGACTTCACAAGCAAAAATCCTCCCTCACTTTTGCCCCATTTATTACAATCCAAAGTGCACTGTAGTAGTATTCTGTTAGTACATGTAGAAGTACACCACAATCAGAAGTACACTGCAGAAGTACACTCTCTGCTCATGAGAGCTCCAACCCAATGGATAAATATAAACTTCCTCAATGTAAAGATGGACAACAAGCTTCAGCTAATATCGGTTAGTTTGGCTTGTTGCCTTTGATTCTTGCCACTTGGCCATAAGGCCAGTCAATATCAGTGGATGATGTGCTCTGTTTTCCAGTTCCTCTCATTCTCTCCCACCTTTCCACCCCTCCCCAAGTCTCACAGGTATTCCATAAAAGTTCATCACCTGAGCGTCCATCTCCAGCTCAGAATGACCCTTTCCTGTTCTGATTCTTGCTCTTTACTCTGCCAGTGATCACTGTTTCCATCCCATGAGTTGGAAGAGAAGGGAGAAACACAGGAGCTGGCTCTACTTGGAGCAAGGGTAGAATGACTCAACTTACACTGAACTTCTAAGTACATGACTTGGGAGTCTTGCCCAATGGTGTTGCTGGCTATGCAGGTGTACTCCCCAGCATCGGTGTACTGAATATCCTTCAGGGTCAGGGAAGACACACGGGCGTGGCTGCGGACTTCAATGCGTCCATCTAGGGTCTAGCAGGAAAGAGAGGAAAAGTCTCAGAAGATGGGTATGACGTGAATTCTGCAAGGGAGGCAATGCTGGTTATGCAGAAAATACCTCTTCGGCAGGTCAATTCCGCCCTGCGGACTAAGCTGCTTGCCTCCCATGAGGTCCTGGCAGTTTCCTAGCCAGTTTCAGAAATTCCAGTCTGGACTGCAATGGATTGGCAACCAGTTCTGGCTGGTGCTCAGTCCAAGCTAAGCCGCCAGATAGACCTAATTGGTCATTCTCCTACTTCTTGTCTTTCCCATCTTTAACGGCCAGACAAACCTGGTTGGCTGGCTTCCGTGCGGTCCAGCCTATCAACGCCCTCCTGTCCCTTTAAGGGGTTGTTCCCTCTTCTCTGGATCCCGTTCCTTTCCTTTGTTTTTCTTTTCTAAGATTTGTTTGCAACACAGATGCCTTCAAGCCACATTTCTTTACTCCCTTTGCTGCTAACTCAGAACCTTTATATTTCCCCTCCTTATCTCTCCCCCCCCCCAGTTTACCATTGTGAAATAGGTTTATTTCATTCCTACACTTCTCGGAAGGTCTGTGGAAATGCTACGGCAAGGAGGTTGAGCTTCCTTGAAACAAAGTCGTAATGAACCTGGGTTTAAGACTGAAGATGAAGGGAAGGTTTGTGATATCCTGGGCAGGGATGGAGAAGGAAGCTGGCATCAACTGCAGGGAGATGTAAGGACTGACTGGAACACGAGCTTCTAGGAGAGCTCCCAGCTATCCCTGGATCAATGACACCTGTCCCTCTCCTAAGAGAGAACACATTTTATATGGCTTGCCTGGACTTCAGCACCCTTCCTTCCCAATCTGCCCGTTTCACGAGATTTTTTTTCTCTTTTGATGGAATTATAGGCCAGCTAAAAAGGAGACACCTGTCCATTCTCCCCTCACAGATAATGTAAAGATCCAGGGGCACCCGCACAAAACCTGCACATTGATCCTTCCCAAATCCACTGGAGAAGAGATGACTAACCCCAAAGAGTTCCCTGAATCAGCATTCCAAAAGGGAAACGTCACCCCCCTTTCTTGTGCATGAAGAGGCTTGTTCCAACCCCAAAGGGAACACAGGCACACACGGAGAGAGCTGAAAGGCCTGGTTTGATTGGGTGTTGCCATGGCAACAGATGCAGGCAGAGGATGGCTGCTGCAGAGATGCCAAAACAGGCCTGGCAGCCATTCCCAACCTCAACCCATGCAAATCAGCCAAGGGGGTCCTCCTGCAAACTCCTTTGGATGCAGCCTAGGATTTGGGGAGGGGCAATTTAAAGACTATGTCCTTGGAATGGCCTTTGCCATTTGCCCATCTCTGCTCAATTCCTGAACCATCAATTTTAGATCCTCAAAATTAAGGACTGGCCATCCTGGAAACCTAAGATTTTCACTGGACAGAAATTGCCTCAAGTGAGCAGAACCATCCCCATGTTATCAGTTGCGCACTGAACAGGAAGGATCCCTTCTGTGGGCAGAGGAAGAGTCTCACGCATCAGCCCAGCTCCATCCCACACAAAGATCACTATCTCACTCACATCTGTCTTTGTGCAATTCAGGATTTGTTCACTCTCTGCCCAAGCCCAGGTGAAGAGCATCTTATGACAAAAGCTCCTTCTGCTTTCGATTCTCATCCCCCTGCTTGAAGTGGAAATTTGGAATCCCCACAGCCATGGCTACCCTCCCCAGATCCAAACTCAATAAGCAACTGAGGCACGCATTTCATCCTTTTGGGTTACATTAAGGAACATGTGGTGGCCCATTAAATATGCACAAGAAACCCAGCCCAGAAGCCAGAAACTCTGATCTAGAGCCAGTTCTCCAAACTTGGCAACTTTAAGGCTTGTGGACTTCAATTCCCAGAATTCCTTAGCCAGCCAGCCTCCAGGCTATATTATTTCAACAACACAAAACTGAAATAAAATCTATCCAAAGGACCATTAACCCTCAATCCTGTCTGATGCTTTTCCAAAATATAATAGAGGGAACAAAACCATGAAAAAGGGCATTTTCTTCCTGAAAATAAGTTGCTGCTTAAAGCTTCAGCTACCAATCATGCTGGCTGGGAATTCTGGGAGTTGAAGTCCACAAGTTTTAAAAGTTGGCAAGTTTGCAGACTCCTGATCTAGAGGGCCCTTTTCTGAAATGGGTGCAATTGGAGACAGGACCGTTGCTTTGCTTCTGAGATGGAATGTGATGCAAACATTAAAAGAGAACAGAGTGTGTCTAATTGGAAAGAAATGAGCAAACACATTAATTGGTGGATAGAGAGGAACAGCTTTGGTCCCAGGGAATGCAAGCGCTTTACGTATTTTAAGAAGTCTGCTTTGGATATTTGCGCCTCAGCAGCTCCAAACTTTGTGAATTTGATGTTGCATATTGTCATGGAAAAGCTATGGGACCCTTTTAAATCCACCAGCATCCCAAGGAGCAAGTGAGAACTAGCCAAGATTTGGCCCGTTTTAAGAGAGGATGCTTGCTCACTTCAACATCCACTAGGAATATATATATATTCCAGCTGAATTTATATCCTCAGCATCGGTGAAGTTACATTGTTAACACTAGCTTTTAGTTTGCTTTGTTACTTCTACAATCAATTGGTTATTTTGCAATAGCTAAATATTTACAAAATGATAGATACGTAAAGCTAGATAAAATGAACTATTGGTCTGGTAAGCTAATACCTCTTGTTTCTCGGGCCTGGTCCATGAAGCCTGGAAAGAATAAATAAATAACACACACACACACACACACACACACACACACAAAGAATAATAAATTTCTTACATATGTTGTGCTGTCCTTCCCCCCACCAGCCCACCCCCTCGCCCCCATTTCAGTTACCACCATTTATGCTTCCCCCTTCATTCCGTGCGCATGCAAAATCAAAATAGGTAAGGCAAATGTGCAAGGAAGGTGACTTACTAATGGAACGAAAACTACCTCCGTTCCTGAATATCTATCGGTTCTTTTCAGAAATGCAGAAACCCAACTGATCAAACGCCACAAAGCTACTGAAGGGTAATGGATGCTGGAGATTTTTTTTTAACGTTGCCAAGCATTCAGGCTGTGCCTCAACCTTTGCTTTCCCAACTTGATCTGCTAAAGTGAAGGGGACCACAGACAGCAAGCATGACACAAAACCAGACGCCCAAGAGACAAATGGGATGTTGGAAGGAGAAGGGGACCAACACGGCATGGTTATTCCAAGGCTTCCCCAGTAAACAATGACTGTAGTCTCGCATGCCACATCCACAACACCAGTTCTCCTAGCAAACAAACAAACAAAAAAGTGTCTTAACTTTGATTTAGAGCAGAGGTATCTAAGCTTGGCCACATTAAGACTTGTGAACTTCAACTCCCAGAATTCAATGCAGGCTGAGGAATTCTGGGAGTTGAAGTCCACAAGTCTTAACATGGCTAAATTTGGACACCCTGATTTAGAGGCTGCCGAGAGTGTTGGGAAACCCCCTCTCTTCACCAAAGGCAAATCCAGTCCATACTGCAAGTAACAACTGCTCCAGATATTCACACAGGAATTTAAATTCAGTTAGATATGAATGGACGTCTTATTGTTATAGTTCAATGCCATCATCTGAGGAAAAGGCCTCCAGGGTGTATTATTTTAACAACATAAAATTGAAATAAAATACATCCAAAGGGCCATTAGCGCTCAGTTGTCTGATGCTTTCCCCAAATATAATGGGGGAGGGACCATGGAAAAGAGGCATTTTCTTCCTGATAATAAGTGTCAGCTATGAACCAAAGAGTTCTAGGCTTCAGAAATCCCTTATATAGCTTTAGAAAAACCATATCTCTATTTTCATAATATGGAGCCTAATTTTCATAAGGAACGGGAATAGAAAGCACTTTCTAAGATATAAAAACAGTTTACAAGCCTGCTATTTATTTTTAAATTATATTTTTATGTGGATAACTCTCATAGAATCCAGGCAGTTCTGAGGGGAAAAAGTGAGCTGGATTTTTGAAGATCATGTTTAAAAAGGAATGTAATTTTTTTTGTTGGATAGAGGCACTGTCAATCAGATGAAAGTTTAAATAAAAAGTGCCATAACTTTATGTGTCGCTTTACAAATAACCATGGCAAATCTGAGTGGTAAAATATAAGTAAATGATGCAGTTAGTTAGCAGAATCTTCCCTAAAGGTCTTCTGGAAAAGAGAATCACACTTACGACTATTACTGATATTTTTCCCCAGATTTATAGGCCCTTTTTATAACATGACACTTGACTGACAGAGGCAACATGATTTTTGCAAGTTTTTTTTAAAAAAGAATAATCATACAACATCCACCATTTTTTACCTACAGTGGTGGCCGCTAAATTCAGCAAAGAATTGCTGTCCCAAGCAGTAACAATCAAAGCTGTGGCATTAGAGCACGGGTATCCAACCTTGGCAACTTTAAGATCTATGGACTTCAACTCCCAGAATTCCCTAGCCAGACAGCTATGCTATTCTATGCTGGCTGGGGAATTTTGGGAATTTAAGCCCAGAGGTCTTAAAGTTGCCAAGGTTGGGCATCCCCTGCTCTAGAAGATGTGATTACACACCTCTGCTCAATTCCGGAACCATAAAGTTTAGATCCTCAAAATTAGGACCCGCCACCCTGAAAACCTCAGATTTTCAATTCCATCTGGACAGAATTGCTAAAATGAGGATTGTTTGACTTGTTTCTGGCAGTTGCCTTCAACAGACGTGGGGGGTCTGATGTTTAGAAGGAAAGCGGGGGAATTATGGTGAAAGGTTTCAGGAAAACAATCTACCACCTACTATCAGATAAAGAGATTCTCTAAACCCAGGCTTGCGCTAAGCGCACAGAGGTCAGAGAAGATTAACCTCACGCAAAGATGGAGAAACACCTGCTGCGGGTGTTAAGCATCATCAACTGGTGATTCCATCTCCAGGGCGCTGTAGCTGGTTAAGAAAGACACGGGTTCAAGTCCCTATTTAAGCACTAGGTTCATTGGATGACTCTGAGCCAGTCATATATTTTTTCTACCGTCTATCTTACAGGATCACCGCTGCAAGGATAAAATTAAGGGAGTTTCCCCCCTTCCCAGGAATGCTGACTTGGCCTCTCATAAGAAAAGATGAGAATGTAACAATAAAATAACATAAAATCATTGAAAAACAAAGGCAAATATTTGCATAGTGTGATAAACCAAACTTCCCCCTCCTCTATCATCCAGATTGGTCCAAGATATCTGGAAAACACTAAATCGAGAAACTCTATAATAAACTGATCTCTTCTTCTTTCTTTTCTTTTTAAACAGCCATTGCAGTGGTTTGATTCAGCCAGTTCGCATCGGTTCGGTAGAACTGGTAGCTAATTTTTTGTTGACTTTGGCGAACTGGCTGATGCCCTAGCCCTTTTTCGCAAGGCCCAGAACGGACCACCGGAAGCACGTGGACGCCACTTCCAGAAGTCTGTTCTGAGCCAGGGAGGCCTCCCAGGCCCAGAACAGACTTCCAGAAGTGGCATCCATGCAGAGAACCGGTTGTTCAGATATCTGAATCCCACTGAGCCATTGATAATGGTGGCTGTTTGTTTTGAGCACTGATAACCCCAGAGGATCCCTCACTATCATTCTGCTTCGTTGCACTTGGAAGGCAGGGGGGCATTAACAAGAAAGCTACAGTGCAGGCAACTGAGAACTGCGCAGGAGATAGTTGGCAACCAAACCAGGATAAAATGCAGAGGCCACACACTGCTGAAAAGAAAATAACAACTGCAGCTCTGAGCAGCATGCATCAAACAAGACTTCCAGCCCGCTGGCTCCACATAACAAATTATCCTTAAAAAATGAACTTTCGCAGTTCTTTGGTATCGATTGTCCAACCATAGAGGTGAATGTTTCAAAAATAGTTAGCAGTTTGACAGTCATTCCTTGAAGAGTCCTCTACGAAAAGGTAATATTTTCAAGGGGAAAATGTCATGGTGAACTTACCTGCTCCTTTGTACTATTCTGCACTATTCTGCATCATCTTCCCATGTCATTCGTGCTGAAAGACTATAGAATTGCCTTCCCTTAAGCCAGGTCTAGCTAGGTCAGGTCTACACCGGCCTTCCTTGAACTGATGTTGGATTATTGTATCTAAACATTTATCCAGCAAGAAGGTCACATAAGGCTGAAACTCTGCACTCTGGCAACAGGGTTGTCCGGATGATCAGTTCTGAAACCTTTCCAATCTTAGCTGGAATCAAAAGGGTTTCTACAACTGAGCTATGTCCCACTTATTTCTCCTTGTGAATTCTAAAAACTGGACCCAAGAATGAGCCTTGCCATAAATGATCTCCAGCAGTCCATTAACAAGTTGTACCATTCTTGAAAATCTTTCATCTTGTGTGCCATGACTATCCCTGTATGACAGCGGTCCCCAACTTTTTTTGGCACCAGAGACCAGCTTCCTGGAAGACAATTTTTCCATGGACTGGGAAGGGGGAATGGTTTTGTGCACCATCTAGATTCCTCGCATGCACAGTTTACAGTAGGGTTTCATGTGGCCCAGTTCCTAATAGGCCACGGACCGGTATTGCTCTGCAGCCCGGGAGGGTTGGGGACCCTTGCTGTATGGTACAAAAGAGTAAGAAGCATTTGGTTACCAAAAGCCCACCTGTTGGTCGATCAGGGCAAGGAAGTATCCTGACCTGTAGGAAGCCCTCAAGAAGACAGAGCCTTGTCTTAGTATGATGCTGCAACACTATTAGTCTTTTGAGTTCAGATCTCAATTCCTTTCCTTTTTAATATTAGCATTAGTAATGTACTGTTTGATCTTGTAGCTATAGGATTTCAGATCTCCGCTCTCAGGTTCTGCAAATATCTGCCTTTCCCACCAGATCCCAAGGGCAGGAGACATGCACCGATCCCATTGGTGGGCTTGGTTTTTCTTTCCAAACTGCTAATTATTTTTGCCAGTACGGACAGAAACAACTTCCAGAAGTGAGCAATGACAGGTAACAAGCAAACACAGAGGCAGCCATGGCTTTTGTGCCTAAAATTATGTGCAGCGCAAGTACAAATGCAGGCGATCAAGAGAAAAGGGGAAAAGAACCATCCACAAGCTAATTGTGTTCTAGAAAAAACTTTCAGGTTCTCCTTTGCCCGTCACCCCCTCTCCTCAAGGCAACGTATACATTTGAAAAGAGTTGCTGGAACAGCAGTGCACGCTGAAGCAAGAGCATCCAAGACTGGAATCCAGATGACTCAGATCATCCCTTGCCCATCACAAGCCTCTTCAAAGACACTGAAGGTGGATTCACTTGGTTAGGAGACTGGCATTAGTCCCTCTTGAAATGTTAATTTCAAATCGAGATCAAGAGAACAATGCATAATGAGTTGGTCAACCTCATCCTCTGGGAGGAAAAACCATCAGGACATCAAAGGTCTTCTGTCCACAATGACACCATGGGACAGGTGGCGTCACTTGCTGGTTTCTTGAGAATAGATTTGCACCCTGCCATCGTGATGCTTAGAGAGCCTTTCCCAGCCAAGGCCTTCTAAGTCTCTCACTACCCACTACCCTCTACAGCAGGGGTGTCCAATCTTGGCAACTTTAACACCCGTGGACTTCCAACTCCCAGAATGGCTGTGGAATTCTGGGAGTTGAAGTCCACAGGTCTTAAAATTGTCAAAGTTGGACGCCCCTGCTCTACATTATGCAGACTACTACTCCCATTTCTCCAGACAGTCTCCCAGGAAGAGTCCCACTATCTGTGCTGGGACCTGTAGCTTGCCACTTCACAACAGGGTAGAGATGATTTTCTCTGACTGAGCTGTTTTCCTGTGACAGCCCTTCCCCTGCATGAAAGACCTCTTTTGTAAGCTCCTCCTTAACAAATGTTGGCCTTCCCACTACTAACGCTTTCTCCTGATTGATAACTTTCCAACTGCTTAAAAAAACTTTATGTGATCACATCGGCAAGGCTTCAATGAAGGTTTCATGGCTCTGGGTTTGGATTCAGCCAGGACTTTTGGCCACGTTTCCATGTAAGGAGAGGGCTGTCTCTGCTAGTCCAATTCCACTGCAACAACGAGCTTCCTTCAGCAGTGGAGAACTTGGTGTTTTCAGATGTTCAGGAGCTATTTTTGATATTGCCTAAATGCAAATTACAATTATCTACGCCTGACCTACAAAGCTTTGATTTCAGCGTGCAAAGCTGCAGAACTAGGAGAATCCAAAGTCCTGGCCTATCTCCCCCTCCATCTTTGGTTTCTGCTACCTGGGGGTGTGAACAGGTAGTCTAGGAGAAAGCCATACCTTCTCTTCACTACTGATGTTTCGGGAAGAGGTCCTCCAAGTGATGGAGGGGATGGGATCGCCAGAGGCCTCGCAGGTCAGAATGATCTGGTCTTCCAGCTCCATTGCAGTTTTGTTCTCCACAAAGGTGATCTGAGGCTTTGCTAAAGAAAGGGTAAAAAAAGAGACATACCCGGTTGAATTGGCAATTGGAGATCGCAGACCCCTTCTCTTGGTAGCTCATTGTCAAAAAGGAGGACCTGGATTGCTAAGGGGGCTACTAAGAGAATTAGAAGCGCCATATCGTCCAATAACACAAGAGGTAATTTGCATAGGATGACGCATTCTGCATATTTGAATGGGTCAAAATTAACTGCGGGATAAAAACGAAACAAAGCTTTTGTCATCTTTTTTCAGAAAAGGGGCGTTGTCTTACCTGAACGCCTTTTCTCAGTACGGCGATGGAAAATCCACCAATGGGTTTTCTCTGTCTGCCTGCTCTTGAGACCAAGTAGCCAAACTTGACACGCCCCCTCTGGCTAGGAGATCCAGTCTTGACGAGGGTGAAAGTGGCTGATGCTGTGCGAGGTGTTGGCTCTCAACCCCTTAATACCGGCCTAACTGACCTAAAGGGTGGATGTGGATCCTCCATCTCCATACTGAGAAAAGGTAAGACAACGCCCCTTCTCCAGTACAGGAGATGGAGAATCCACCAATGGGAAATACCAAAGCCTCACTGTCCCAACGGGTGGGAAACAGATAAGGCCGGATCTACGTCCCCGAAGACCACCTGCTGAAGGATCCTCCGACCAAAGGAGGCGTTGCGGAAGCGAAGCAGTCAATCCTATTATGGCGTACGAATGGTGAGGACGGGGAACATGTTGCAGCCCTGCAAATCTCCTTGATGGACACCCGAGTGGCCCATGCCGCAGATGTCGCAGCGCTGCGAGTGGAATGGGCTGTGATATGACTTGGAGCCGACAGGGAAGAAGACTGGTACGCCTCTGCAATACAGGTCCTGATCCACCTGCCTATAGTGCCAGCGGACACCTTCTGTCCCAGAGAAGCCGGAAGGAAGGAAATAAAGAGGGCCTTAGATCTGTGAAAAGGCTCCGTGCGTTTGATGTAATGTCGCAGAGCCCTGTGGATGTCCAGTATGTGCCATTGCCGCTCCAAGTCATGGGAAGGATTGGGACAAAAATTTGGCAAGATGACTTCCTTTGCCCTATGGAAGAGTGAGTTGACCTTGGGCACGAAAGCGGGATCCAAACGAAGGACCACCCGGTCTTGGTGGAAGATGCAAAGGTCATTCCTGACTGAGAGAGCAGCCAGTTCAGAGATACGCCTGGCTGACGTGATTAAGAATGCAACCTTAAGAGACAATGCCCGCAATGGTATAATAGCAATGGCCTCAAAGGGCGGTTTTGTTAGAGCGCGAAGCACACGAGGCAGCTCCCAAGAGGGGTACCTGTGTACCACGGGAGGCCTGTTGTTGCATGCACCCTTGATGAAGGCGCATATTCTAGGGTGATGTGCTAAAGGAACTGAATCCGCACAAGTGAGCAACGTTGATAGGGCTGCCATCTACCTACGAATGGTAGCAGGGGCCAGGCCTCTGTCCAGACCATCCAGAAGGTAATCTACGATCTGAGGGATGGTTAATTTGTAGACATCCAGTTGTCGCCTTCTGCACCAATGGCAAAATTTTTTCCAAGTAGAATCATAAATACAATTGGTCGCCGGACGACGAGAGGCCTGAATCATGGTAATTGCCCGTGGTGAGAATAACTCCTGCGTCATGATGCGGCGCTCAAGCGCCAAACAGTCAATTGTAACCACTGAGGGTCCAGGTGTTGGAGGACCCCTTGGTGCAAGGACACGCGATGTGGGGGAATCTTCCAAAGAGGAGACTGGGAGAGATTCATCAGGTCGGCAAACCAGGGCTTCTGTGGCCAGTACGGGGCCACGAGGATCACTTCCACTTGCTCCTGGAGCAGTTTGCGGATGGTCGCCAGAATGAGCGGGAGGGGAGGGAAGGCGTAAAGGAGACCTTGCAGTCACGGAGTCTGCAGGGCGTCCGTCCCCTCCGCCCCCGGAAGGTAATAACAGGAGAAGTACCTGGGGAGTTGGGCATTGTTTGATGATGTAAACAGGTCGAGGATCGGATGGCCGAACCTGTGGGAGATCTCGGAAAAAAGATCCGGATGCAATTCCCATTCTGAGGGGTCTACCGTAGAGCAACTCAGAAAGTCTGCCTGTTGGTTCTTGACCCCTGAGATGTGTTCAGCCCTGAGAGAGGCCAGGTTGGACTCTGCCCAGGAGCCCAGGAGCCGTGCCTCAGACATAAGGGACTTGGACCTGGTGCCCCCCTGCTGGTTCACATGGGCCTTGGACGCCATGTTGTCCATTAGGATCAATACGTGACGGGCCTTGATCAAGTGTCGGAATTGGCGAAGAGCTAAATGGATGGCCCTGAGCTCCAGCCAATTAATGTTGTGTCTCAAATCTGCGTGGGACCAACAGCCCTGCGCAAACTGAGACTGTAGATGGGCACCCCAACTGAATAGACTGGTGTCCATCATAATGGTGATGCAGTCCAGCTCCTTAAAAGATGACCCCTTGGTCACCGCTTGTGAGAACCATCAGTGTAGAGAACTGAGGGTGTGGACCGGGAGCCTGACCTGGTGGTTGGATGCGCTGGCATTCACTCGTTGGAATGGTAGGAGGAACCATTGAAGATCCCGCAAGTGGAGTCCGGCCCAGAGGACTATGGCTATGCAGGAGACCATATTTCCCAGAAGCTGGGAGAGTAAGACCAGTGGAACGGTGCGGTCCTTGTATACCCAATGAGCCAGATCCCTGATGCTGACCAACCGCTCCTTGGAGAGATAGACCATGCAGTTTGTGGTGTCTATGATGGCTCCCAGGTGCAGAAGCCTGGATGAGGGAACCATCTGGCTTTTTTGGAAGTTGACTGAGAACCCGTGCTGTTGGAGGACCTGAATAGTTAGTTCCGGGTCCAACTGGGTTGCCCGGAAGGAGGACGCTTGGATCAGGATGTCATCCAGGTAACACTGGACGCGTACCGGTACCTTCCGCAAGTGGGCGGCTAGTACAGCCAGGATCTTGGTGAACACCCTGGGTGCCAAGGAGAGGCCAAAAGGAAGGGCCTTGTACTGGAAATGACTGCCCCTGTTAACAGAGCCTGAGGAACTGCCAGTGAGCTGGATGGATGGGGATGTGGAGATACGCTTCCGTGAGATCTATTGACGCCAGGAAGTCTCCTTGTCTGATGCCTCCCAGGATAGACTGGAGTGATTGCATTTTGAACTTCGTGTATGTGATGTAATAGTTCAGACCTTTGAGGTCTAGAATTGCTCTCCATCCTTCTGAGGTCTTGGGGACCACAAAAAGAATGGAGTAGAATTCCCCTCCCATGTGGTCCGGCAGTACCGGTTCTATGGCCGGAATCTCTAGAACAGTGGTTCTCAACCTGTGGGTCGGGACCCCATTTGGGGTTGAACGACCATTTCACGGGGGTCGCCAAACAACGCAGTCCGCCATTTTTTTCTCCCTTTTCCTTAGCTGTGCTACTCCCTTTTATTCTATTGGCTTTTGAAAGCCAATAGAATAGACTCTCTTGAATAGAGTCTAATTCTATTGGCTTTCAAAAGCCAATAGGAATTGTCCAGGCTGTCTCTGCCCTGCTGAGCCCGCCAAAAGTCCCATTCTGCAAACGGTGCTGCACCAGTTGAGTAGTCCTCGACTTACGACCGGTTGAGTAGTCCTTGACTTATGAACGGTTGGGGGTCGCGGCATTAAAAAGGTTGAGAACCACTGCTCTAGAAGATGTTGAATGGCCTCCTGCATAAGTCTCCCTTTGAGTGGATCCTGGGAAATGGGACAGATGATGAAGCGGTCCGGGGGGCTGGCTAGAAACTCCAGGGACAGGCCAAACTGGATGATTTGTCCAGGTGTCCATGGATGTGAGTTCCCACTGATGGAAGAAGTGGGCCAGCCTTCCCCCAATGGGAAGTGCGGGTGTAAGAGTCACTTGGACCTCCTATAGGGGCGTCCTGCTCCTTGAAATGGCCTCTTAGATTGGTTCTGCTGCCTAGGCCGAAAGCCCGGCCTGTCATACGGACGGTCATATGGCCTGTTCTGCCTGGGTGTGTATGAGCGGGAGGACTGAGTAACTGTGGAACCTGCTGCCGGCTGAAAGGACTGCCTGCGGAATTAGGGAGCGGGAGGTTTGTCGGCCTGTTTATTCAAGTGAGTCATGACCTTCCGTTTGTTCTTGTTCTCCACAAGGTATGGGGCAAGGGCCTCCCCAAAAAGAACTGCCCAGATAGAGGGCAGTTGCAAGACGCCATTTGGCTTTGGCGTCAGCCTGCCAGCGTTTCAGCCATAGCATCCTGCTGGCTGTAATGTTGGATGCTAGAGACCTAGAAGCAAAGTTGGCTGACTGAAGCGTCGCGTCCGCAGCATACTCAGTGGCCGCCACCATTTTGCTTAGGTCCTGGTGAGCCCGAATGTCCTCGGCAGGGACTCTGGCCTGAAGTTGACGAAGCCATAAAAGGGTGGTCCGGACAAAGAAGGACGCACAAGTGGCCGTTTTAATTGATGGGTCTTCCGGAAAGTTTGGTCCCATTTTCTGTCATCCGCTTTAAGTGCCTCCGACATGTCCCCAGCGACCGCAGTCTGGGATACCAGAGGGGTCCAGGCTTCGTCTACCTTGGGGACCTCCAGGGCCTCAGTGAGGTCTGTGGAGGTGCTAAAAATCTTTTTATCAGTCCCACTTACGGAAGGAAAGGAGGAAGGGGAGGCCCATTGCTTTTTGGTCCCTTTAAGAAAAATAGAGGGACATGGAACTTTATGTTGGGCTGCCACCATTTCAAAAAATATCGGATTTGGACTGGAATCCAATGTTGCCTGCAGCTGAGAGAACTGATCGGACCCTGTTTGCTGTTGATGTGGCCTTACGAAGCAGGGGAAGAAACAGGGTTGGATTGAACAGGCCTCCCGATGGGGAGGGTTCAGGGGGAAGTTCCTCCTCCTCTGATAGATTAAAGTCCGGCTGCTCCTCACCCTGCAGGGATGAGTATCCACTCATGGAGAAGTGTGCAGGAGGTGTGGATTCCTGAAGTATAGGGAACCCCATAGGAGGGACATAAGGTGGCATGGCCGACGTGGAAGCCCCCTGTCCGGGTGGATGGAAGGTCCACAACCTTGGATAGCAAGCTTCAAAGCATCTGTCAGAGAAAATGTCTCCGATGTCTGGTCCTCTGAACCTTGCGGCCGTTGGCGTGAAGGTGGCCTCTGGAGCTGAACCCGAGACGGTTGCTGTGTGTTGAACCAATTCAGAAGGGGAACTAAGTGTGGCGGGCGTCCCTGTGAGAGACCACACGCCCTGAGCTGAGGTTGAAGGACCTAAAGGAAGGTCAAATTCAGGGGCCGCCATTTGATCCATCTCTAATCTGGCCTGTCTCTGCGCTCTGGAGAACTCCTTCTCCAGAGCCTGGTGCCTACGGCTGGCTTGCTTTTCCGCCAACTTGGAAAGCTTCTTCAGAGTGGCCTTAGCCTTGGATTTGAGCTTGCCTGCCGCCTCCTGATCAGACATTTTGTGCCAGCCGTAACTGGAGGATGGGGAGGCAGTGCTCATGGGTTGAGGCATCATGGAGTCCTCCATCCTGGCTAAGCTGTCTCAGGGAAACTGAGGCGGAGCTCTGGCAGGCAAGTGGTTGGCAGAAGCGAAATTGAAGCAAGTAACGAAGACTGCTCCCCTGACCACCTGACCAGAAAACAATCTATCTGGGCTTTGGTCACGACAATTGAGTCAGATGCCGAAGGCACAGTTGGGGACACGCTCCGGGCTCTGCCTGGAGGCCTTAAGTGGCCAGTCAAGGTGCACCAGATGGCCCAATGAAGGGCGCAGAGGGCCTAAAAGGAGGCTTGGCAGAGGCAATGTGAATTCAAAATGGCAGCTCCGAATCAAGATGGTGGCGTGAGAATTTGGGCTGTGAATTATTGGGGATGTAAATAATGATGCAGTTAATGAGGCCTAGATGGCAGTTGCTGGGCAGGGCTAGAATAGTTTTTCAGATGTGCTGAGAAGTAGCCAGAATATAGGAAAGGCCTTGTGGGAGAGCTTGGGGGCCTGCAGTCAATACAGGAGGTCTGATGTGTAGGCCTGAGGGAGGGCCTCACGATGTTCCCAAGATGGTGGCCGCAACGTGCTCTGCCAAAATTCCTGGGATGGCAAGGTCAGGTGAGGGGCCTGAAGTCCTGGGGGAAGTCCCTGTAGTACACAGAGGCCTTCAACACTCAATCCGGCTGATGTGAATTTGCAAGGCTGGCCACGTGGCGCACCCAAAATGGCGGCCGCAGCGAACTTAGTTGCAGTTTCTTAGAATCAGCAAGGATATGCTAAGATTCCTGAAGCCCTTGTCTCAAAAACTTAGAAAGGCCGAATTAATTGCCTGCAGAATCTGTCGTTGATGACAAAGGGAACCTCTGTTAAGCCTGTGAGTTCGGCAGCCGTCCAAAATGGCGGCTGCGACTTTGGAGCTGTTAGAAACGGCCTCCAGAGGTGTCGAGGATGAAGGTGAACTCTGGGATTGATTGTGGTTGCAGCGCTGAGCTCTGCGCAGGAAAGCCAATGGGGGAACTGGCAAGGAATTTTCCTCCCCCCCTCAAGAGCCCTGGGGAGATGAACGGAGAAGTACTTCCCCCCCCCACCCCACAAACCTCAAATCAGCCGATTTGAGGCTGCGCTGATTCAGCGTTCCTGGGGAAAATGTTTGGGGGAAAAAAACCTTTTTTTTTTAAATGGAATCACTAATTAGGGAATGCACAAATACCAAGATTGAGGCAAGGAGAATTCAACAATGGATCTCTGACCTGCTAGATTGAATTGAAGATCTCTAAAACCTGAGAACCATACCTGATACCTCTTCAAGAGCTTGAGACCAAGCCAAGACTGGATCTCCTAGCCAGAGGGGGCATGTCAAGTCTGGCTACTTGGTCTCAAGAACAGGCAGACAGAGAAAACCCATTGGTGGATTCTCCATCTCCTGTACTGGAGAATAGCAATAAAGTTATGCAGCACGAGCAATTCACTAGGCACAGTCCTCAGCCTTTCAGAACTTGCTTTATAACACTAAGGACTAGACACTTTAAAAAAATGGACGTGTCACAGAACTACCTGAAAAAAAATTCAGACTTAATTCTACCCACGATTTGTTAGTGGATAATCAAGTCTCTGATTCTGGGACTCTGATTATGATCAAGGAAACAAAAAGGCAAAGAGCAGTGAAGCCCACTTACCAAAGACTTTGAGGTGTACGGTGGCGTCATGCTCTCCCGCTTTATTCTCAGCGATACACACATACTCGGCCTCATCGTTCTTCTCCACCCTGTGGATGGTCAGCTCAGAGCCATCATAACTGAAGCCGTACTTCTCCTCATCCTCCCCTCGTTCTATTAGTTCTCCGTCCCTGCAGGTGAGAAAGCCCACGGGCAGAGATGGACATGAGCTGGGAGTCTGGCTCACCAGGAGACGGTGAATTCTTGTCCTGCTTTGTGCATGAAAGCCAGCTGGACAACTTTGGGCCAATCACCAGGAGGTGAGTTCTAGTCTCACCTTATCACAAAGGCTGGCTGGGTGACTTTGGGCCAATCACCAGGAGACGGTGAGTTCTAGTCTCACCTTATCTACGAAAGCCAGCTGGGTGACTTTGGGCCAATCACCAGGAGACGGTGAGTTCTAGTCTCACCTTATCTACGAAGGCTGGCTGGGTGACTTTGGGCCAATCACCAGGAGACGGTGAGTTCTAGTCACACGTTAGGCATGAAAGCTAACTGGGTGACTTTAGCCAGTCCCTCCCTCTCTCAGCCCAGCTCACCTCACAGGGTTGTTGTGGTGGGGAAAATCGGAGGAGGAGGAGGAGGTGTTGGATGTGTTGAGTAGCTTATAAAAACGGTAATGATGGGATACAAATTAATAAATGAGCAGCCCCAGTTCCTCCCACCACCAGGGCACACACAAACCCCTCTTACTTGGTCCAGCTGATGATGGGCTCTGGGAAGCCATCAGCCTCACACACCAGTTTGACCGACTGGCTGAGGTTGGCAGTGGCGTTGACCGTCCCCTGCCGAGAGCGAACGGTGGGAGGCACTGGAAGAGAGGAAAGTGGAATCAGGTCTGCCGGCCTTTGGTGGCGAAAGAGGAGCAGGTGAGACCCCTGTAAAGTGGACTCATTTGTGGGTCTCTCTTCTACGCTCACCCCTCGCCTCTTTTCTTGGCCCGATTCCTAGAAGGTAACCTGATTCCAACCAGCTGATTACTCTAGAACTGGAGGGCAGCTGCACTTCGACCCTCTAAGCTTCCTCTTCTTTTTTTTAATTTTAAACTTTTATTAGTTTATCAAAATATAAAGCACAAAGGAAAATGAAAATGTGAAAGTAAGAGAGGCAAAAGAGAAGAGGAAAAAGTGTAGGAAATAAAAAAGAAAAGCTTTGACTTCCGACTCGTTTTAGCACAGTAAAATAAGATAATAATACACACCCTCAACTTTTTACTTTTATATAGTAATATTTACTAGCCATTTCTACAACAAAAAAACCTATCTAATCAGCAAAATCCAAAGTCAAAGTTTCATATTTTTTTCCACCTGAAGCACAAAGTTCAAAAGCGGTTTCCAAACAAAAGCGGTGGAAACAAAGTTAGCTGCATTCTTTTCTTTAATTAAAGATAAAAGTAAGCTCCATCTTCTGAACAGGCTGTCTTTCTACAGTGCTTGTCTAGAAAAAAAACACGTGCACAAATCCGGAAACATGTCCAAAGAGCCATCTGCTACTTTAAGGTTTGTTAGCATCATACTGGTTATATTGCTGCATTTGACTGCTTAAAGACATAATTAATGCAGAGCACAACAGGAGAAATAAAACATTTAGAGTTCAGCTTTCCCTGAAAAGGATGCCCACTTTAATGGCTCAGGTTTATGTGATCGGCTGTCAGAGTCCTAAAGTTACCTATTCACACGTTTATGACTTCACTCGTGGTTACAGAGCATCAATCTGTGCGTGCATTTGGCAGAGGCAGCAGTTAAGAAGTTGAGTAACTGGGATGTCTAAATGCTCAGGGTGGTATTTACCAACTCACAGAAGCAGAAGGCACCAACAGAACACTTGCACCTTTCTGTAAAGGGTGCCTGGGGACTTGAGGAAGGTGACCTACTTGGGAATCAGCCAGTGCCAAGGAGCAAGTGGCTGAGGACAATTTCTTCTACCTGCCCTGGAAATTATTATCATGGCATGACAGTTGCTGAACTATCTTCTAGCTTGTCCACAACTCAGAAGGGTTAAAATAAAAATAAATGGACTCTCTTTCTATTCTTCCATTTCAAGGCTGCCGAAGAAGCTCTGTGGTCAAATTCTAATGAGTGAACAGAGAGAAACTATTTGTCAGCTAGCAATCCTCCTTCCTTCCCAAATTGATGTTCTCCAGATGTACACCACAGGCAAGCAGGGATGGGCTCAGCTGGCGCGGTGTGAGTCATGGCTTTTGGCCTTCTGCGGGATATCAGATTCGGAAGAGCTGAAAGGAGTGGACAATGCCAGGTGCAGCCCCCAAAGCTCACGTGCCATCTAAGGCGAGATGCTCACCATTCACAATGATCCGGATATCCCTGAAGTCCACCTCTCCCCGTGCCAAGATCCTCCCCTCACAGCGATACATGCCTTCGTCGCTTTTCTTGATCCCTCTGATCTGGAGGTAGTTATTGCTCAACACCACAAACCTCACTGGAAAGAATGGAGGAGAGAAGTTGATAGGTGTAAGATTGGCTACCAGGAGCTCCCAACCTTCCATCTTGGGCAAGCTTCATCATGAGACACGCATGCTCCTTTCATTACAAATGGAAAGAGCTTCTTGGAAAGAACCAAGTCCAATCAAACCCAACCATAATTACTGAACTCAGCCTACAATTTGCATTCCAGATGTTTCAGCTTGACTTATCAGTAGCTACATCAGAACAGCCCGGCCAGGCTTCACTCATTCTGGTGCTTGGCTCTCCAGAAGTAATCTAGAACATTCAAGTTATGTGGAGGGCTTCCCGTGCACCTCAAAACATGCATGCACACACAGACACACACACACCACAAAGATGCACACACTTACCGTCTTTTTTCAGGACCACATCCCTGCCCATGTGCTTCCACATAATCGTAGGAGGCAGCGAGGAGACAATATCACAGATAATAACTGCATCTTCTCCTTCTTTGAACTCCTGTGGGCTGGGGGCATGTTTGAAGGTCAGCTTCTCTGGAAAGTAGATGCAGGCAAAAGGAAGAGTAAATCCTGAGACGGTTGGAGTTCATGTAGCAAACATGCTAAGCGGATGAGAAGGTCTGCTCTTTTCAGCTGAAGGGATCAGGGACCTTGCAAGAGAGCAAATCAGCTCCTGGAGCAAGTAACTAACCACTAGGCTGCTCATGGATGCACGAGAGCGTTTCGCTTCACCCTATTCTGGAGGTTCTGCTCTGTCAAACACCTGACATGAAGCTAAAAGAAGTACGCACAACTCACTAACCTTAATAAAAATATAAATTAATGGAAAATGCACATTCCAGAAGTGGAGGTTGGGCTTCCTTATCTCCATCAGATACCAATTTCAGAAAGGACTTAGCTGGGAGGAGGCAGGATTGACAGATCCATCACAAATGTTGTTTCTCTTCTTAGGTCATTCTATGGAAGATGTCTGCAACCTTGGCCAACTTTAAAACTTGTGGACTTCAACTCCCAGAATTCCCCAGCCAGCATTCTAGGGGTTGAAGTCCACAAATCTTAAAGTTGCCAGGTTTGGAGACCTCTGTTCTATGGGGCAGAGGGAAAAGTAGGACTTCTCTTGCTCCCCACCCTGCCCTTCCTTCTCCAGCCCAACCACTTACGAAAGATCTTCACATTAAGAGTGGCCTCTTCCTCCCCTTCCTCACTGGAGACCACACACTTGTAGATGCCGGCGTCCTCTATGTTGGCGTTATAGATGGTGAGAGTAGAAGAATCATCGGACCGGACCACAGAAATGTGCTGCTGGTTTGTTGTCAGCTTATCACCATTGGGGGCAAACCAGAAGATTTCTTTGGATTTGGCATCACCGCTCACTGAAACCAAGGAAGAAATCCAGGCAGAAGCTGGGTGAGGCTACCTGCTGGGTAAGTGTGTGTGTGTGTGTGTGTGTGTATGTGTGTGTGTGTGACTGGCAGCCTTTCAAGACAGCCAGACCAAAACAAAGTCACACAGGGCAATACTCATTTTATTGCAATGATCTAGAAACGGAATCTTGCAAGTCTGGATGCACAATTGTTTATTTATTATTCAAATGTATTGGCCACCCGACTCCAGTAGATTTTGCTCTTCCTTCCACTTCTCTTTATCTTCATGAGACCTAGGGAGGATCTTGTCTGAGTTGTTTTTTTCAGGTTTATTTTTTTCAATTTGATTTAGTAAATTTATTTGTCACCCATCTCATAATGAATGACTCTGAGCAGCTACAGGTTACATGATAGGGGGTTGGACTAGAAGACCTCCAAGGTCCCTTCCAACTCTGTTATTCCGTTATTATTTCTGCCCTGGACTCAACCCTCTTTTTTATCTGTCAGTTAATTCAGCTATTGCATGAGGAGAAGATATAGCTCTATTCAGTGGGTTTCCTCTCATGTAAAGCTGGATTCCTCCCATAGGTTCAACAGCTGATTATGCAGCTACTAACCTTGACATAAGAAAAATTTGGATTCTCCAACAGGCACCTCCACCTTATTTGGGACAATGTTCACCTGAAGGGAGACTGAAAGATAGAAAGAAGCACCATGAGGTTACAATGTTCTTGCTGGCCAAACAAAGAAAGGTGTCATCTAATATTAATTGCAAACCTGAATGTCTGCAGAAAAGATTGTTAGGTCTAAGATTCTGAGCTGGGTTAAGACTACAGTCAAGAGGAATGCTGGCTTACCACCAGCTGATCAGATACTTAGGAGCTGAGGATTTGGGCAGCACAAGGTAACAACAACCAACGACTTAATAGCCTGCCATCAACACCCCAATCAACCAATAAGAAGCCATCCCCAACCAGCACCACATAAATACCATGCACAGAATAGCATAAAGCAGTAGTTCTCAACCTTTTCTTCATCACAGACCCCTTTAGATACCTTCTGTGGCTACAGACCACGGCCACAGACCCCAAGACTTAGCTCAAGATTTAAATCATAACATTTCTTCAAGCTTTTGCAGACCCCCTCTGTTGACATTCTGGCCTCCCAGGGGCCTGTGGGCCACAGGTTGAGAACCACTGGCCTAAAGTACACATCCCAGTAGGGAGACGTTCTCTGAGGATGGGCTCCAGCATGTGTCCGAAAGCTCAAAAGATTAAAGCTCTGGTCACAGCGACCGACCCAGATTGGTTCCTGTTAGTGTAGCCCAGACATGTCAAACACAAGGTCCGGGAGCCGGATGTGGCCCGCGAAGTGGTTTCATGTGGCCCGCGAAGCCATTCTGGAAACAGTGAGGGAACAGCCCCCGCTGCCTTGGCCCTGGCCCAGGCCAGCCAGGAGCCAACGTACAATTTTGTGGTGGTGATCTTGGCACTTGCCCCAGTGGACCATGCCTTGGCACTTGCCCCGGTCTCACCCCCTTCTGCCAGAGACCCTCAGATCTGTCCCACTCCTGCAAGGCCCCCCATAGGCACCCTTGACGTGAATGATGTAGAACTGGCCACGCCCACCCAGTAGGCCACACCCACTCCATCTATGCCCACCCAGTAGGCTGCACCCACTCTGGCCACACATCCCCGCCCCCCCCAGGGCAACCGCAACGCTGATGAGGCCCTCAGTGAAATTGAGTTTGACATCCCTGGTGTAGCCCAAAGTGAAGACTTTCAGATGCTATATGGATTTTTAACAAGATCATTTGCATAGACCTCACCACACCTGCAACTTAAAGTTAGAATACATCTTGTTACTAAAGTTAAGGAAAGCAATTTTCATGATTTCTCTATAAGAATTAAGAGGTTTTCCCAATCCACACCATGCTTTTCTTTCTAATTCTTTCCACTCACATGGCTTCACTGGAGGCGAGTAACTTTCCTCCCCCTCTCCCAATAATGTGCCAGCTATTCTTTTTATGCTGTTTTATTTCTGGGTAATTCAATTTTGCCCGTCCATTCTCCTTCGGCATAATTCACTCCCAGACAGAATGACAGGACTGGACATCATTCTCCCACTGAGAGGTTGGTTAGATTTAGTGCAGCAAAGACCTAAATAGCCAGGACTGAGCAACCTTGGGCCCATCTGCCTTTCCCCTGCCTCTCTTAGGCATGCTGTATAGGGCCAGCGCAATTTGGGCTGCAAGATCCTAAGTGGGTAGTTGGTCACTCTGGTCTTAAGTATGGATCTCCACATAGAGCAGTTTCCAGACAGTGACTTCTCCTTGCTTCTTGTTGGATGAAGAATAAATAACCCTAAGGCATCTATTTTGACCAAATCATGCCAAAAATTCACCAGAGAAAGCAATTATGCTTGGAAGAGTTAGCGGTAAAAGGAAGCCAGGCCACCAAAGAACACTGTGGGTGGACACCATCAAAGCTGACACCAGCCAGAGCATAGAACAACTCGAAGTAGCAGTGCAAGATCGGAAGATGTGGAGAGACCTGGCCCAGAGAATCGCCAAGAATCAGACACAACTGAATGGATAACGTTGCCGTCATCATCATAGCATCTATACAAATTCAAGCGTGAGATTGCCATGAAAAATGTGAAGAAGGCCTGGCTCAGCTTTGTCCCATGTTCAGGCAATGCTTGCAAAGCACCTCCCCCCCTTCCACAGAACATGCCTGTCTCTCTGTGCAGCTGGCCGAGACTCTTTCTGCTGTGTACTCTAAGGGTACTCTAAGGGCCTCCGCACCCACAAGGGCATTCGCCATATCTCCCAAACCTTGGCATCTGAGAGCGTTGTGGTCTTTCATGAAAAGTAATGAGCCATTAGAGAAGACGTAATTGGATCCTGGCTCCCATCTGTGGATACATTTGCTGAAGCTTCCTGCCCTAACAAGTCCGGGTCAAAGAAAGATTTCAAGAGGGTCTGACCTAATGTGAGCAATTTCTAAATTGCGGTCATTAGTTGGAGAGAAAACAATCGCCTTAGTAAAAGAACTGCTTGGTCCAGCAGAGTCAGAGCATTTTTTCCCCGTCTCTATTGTTAAAAATGCTTAATCTGTTCCACCCTTTAGTGGCCCAGTGCTACAGGACTGGTTTGCTTGCCTTTGGAGATGGTTAGAGCACAGACCTGTTTTTTTTCGAGTGCCCACCTGCCTCTGGTTAAGAACCTAAAAGCTGGAGGGCATCATTTTCCAGCATCTTCTTCACTAGACTCACGCATTTACTGGCTACCACAGAAAAGCAATACCAAACAGCCTCGCTCCAAGAGGGGAGACAGTTAAAAATCTTGTCTGTAAGCCAGTGGATGTTCCTCCTAAAATAAACAGAAAGCGCCAAGGTTAAAAACTTTTAGCGTTTCCTGATTTACTGTCTCCGAGGTAGTCATTATGGTTCTCCATATTCTACAATGATATACAGGAGGTGTCACTGCTGACAGCAGTACTGGACTACTGCAAGAGCATCCGTGCCTGATTTGAAATAGACTCTTCAACGAGGAAAAAGGCCAAAGGCACCTCCAGTCAGATCAGCCTCTGTGTAACTTTGGCCCGTGACTAAGATGGGGAGAACAGCGCAACGGCTCCTGGCTGGAGGGCAACCAGTGCATCAAGGAAATTGAGTTGATATCAACAAGCATTCCGTCATTAAAAGTAATCTAGGTTTAAAAAAAAAAAACCCCGAGAAACTAGGATAAATGAAGAGTTATTGCCACTCAATTGTGGGCAACTATTTGGAACAGAATCCAGGTCCTGACATCACCATGACCTGCTTTTCTCCTGTGACAACTGATCAAACGGAAATGCTAGAGCAGAGAGTTGCTAACCTTTTCCTGGGGCTCTCTGTACCATCAAAAAGCTTCTGTAGAAGACACAGTTGAGGCACTTTCTCTTGCCCACGCCAGATAAAAGTGCCCCTGAGCTGCTTTGGAGGGAATCCCGCATTCTGTGTGTCTAAAGTAATCCCACAACTCAAGGAACATGACAAAAGTATGCCTAAAACCAGGAATCCCACGGTCAAGGGATTACCTTTTTTATAAACTGATATCCTTCAAATGCAGCACTGTTTAAATTTAGAAACTGTGATATTGTAGAAAGATGCTGGTGGAGTAAATTACATGGCAGATAGTAACAGGTCATCCCATATTATTGTTATTTTTTGGCTGCTCACAGGCCTCCTTTAATATTCTTATGGCTTACTTTGCATGGGTGTCGTAGCCAGGACAAAGGCTGTGTATATGATGAAGGCAGGAAAACAGGAATTCAAGGCTGGTGACAGTCACTAGAGGACATCAGGAGGTGTTGCTAGACGGCAGCTTGACCATCCTCCCTTGACCCAAAGATGCTTTTCCAGTGGGCAACTGGACTTTCTTGGTTTTTTTCCTTGAAAACATTTAGCTTCTCATCCAAGAAGCCTATTCAGTTCTTCAGAACTAGCCATGGCTTTCAAGGAAAAAACCAAGAAGGTCCAGGTGTTTTTTGGCAAAGCACTTGTGGGATAACCATCATCTGGATGTTTCAGAATCTCTACAGACATTTCTCCTCCCCTAACTTTAGCTACATTTAAAACTCTGAATCTGAGGGTACATCTCTTTTGCTTTTCCTTCAACTCAACCATTTCAAGTTCTAAAAAAACTTTCCAGCTGAACTATGCATGTCACTGGCACATGCATGCATGTGTGTGTGTGGGAGAGAGACAGCTCTGGACATCTTTACTCCAACGCCAAAATTTGGAATCAGCAAATCGGCTCATACTTCTTAAGCTTTCATTGCCACAAAGCCTTCAGATTTCCTTGCAGGAGACAGATGATAAAAGCATGGCTTTATTTTCCAAACATGTTCCGCTTTCCATTTTAGCAGCTCCTGCTAGAGCAGATCAAAGGGCAATCTACCCAATTAACAGCTCTCACAGTGAGGGATGGAAGGATAGGTCCACCCTCACCAAAATGGTATCAAATAATGAAAAGCACCCCCTGCGTTTATTTTCATGTACCTGGATCAATGCTCTGGAGTGATTCTTTACAAAACTGGGGAGCTAATGTTTTCCATGCATAGCTCTTAAATTCAACCTTTGACAGGTGAAGGCTGAACAGGAGAACATGGTATAAAATAAGTATTTAATCCCTTCTCTAAAGAAAGTGAAGGGTGTCTGTTGCATCTAATCACAAGATCCATCATCTGTGACAAATTTAATCATCAACTAAACAGACCCCCTCCAACCAAATCCAACAGAAAGCAAGCAATGCATAAATAAATAAGCAAATGAGAAGGCAAGCCAGCGAATAATGTTGTAGAAATGTCAGTTCCATTTCCATTTGCAGGATTAAGCCCCACTTCAGTAGGGAATTCTGAATTCTAGAATCTCAGTCTTTCCTCAACCACCATCATTGCTGCCTGTTTACACAGTGGTGACTCATAACCTTCCCTGGCTGGTTTCATGATAGAATGAGGAAAAGTTGAGGTGATTCTTGACTAATCTGACTGTTATGTGAAGGTACGTATCTCGCTCATCCTTACACAGAAGACCTGCACTGACAGGGAACACTTCAAACAGAGTTCAAAATCAGAAGCTGCCTAACTCATTAAAGCAACCATGTCTTTTTTCAGTATTTTGACACTTAAAGTAGAGATGTTTCTAC